ATGGGGTTTTTGCGGGTTGGGGGGGGGGGGGAGGGTTGTGTGCGTCTGGTTTAACGGGCGACTGAATTTGACGCCTTCGTGAAAGCAACAGGTCGGTATTGTGTCTTGAGGGTAAGAACGGCGGGATTTGAGAGGGCCGAAGAACGGTTTGCCTGCAATACGTTTGGAGAGAGAATCGCACAATATCATATCGCCTGAACAGGGAAAAAAAATGTTTCGACAACCATGCAAAACACGTTTCAAAATCTTCGAAGCTGCAAGCCGAACGCCTCGTTGCATACTGCAACACTTTTCGCCCACACGCGAATTTTCTACAACCCGCACGCTCAACACAATCCAGAGGGCCGGCGCACTTTCGTGACCAACGGCGACATCATGTGCTTGAGTGTATGTAAGAAGCAACAGACACGATGCCAAACATCACCAGCAGTAACAACAACAGCTCGCCCAAGACGTCGAGAAGTGTGAAGGGAGGTACTTGTCCTCGACGGACGAGAAATGGGATACGATTCTAATCGTCACCTCCCCCTCGGTGTTGAAAGACTGGTTTGCTAGACAAGAAGGCTTTAAGAGGGTGACCGGAGAGTCGATTCCCTTCTTCGCAACCTCCTGCGCGTACTCTCACGGGTGCGCTACGTCCACCACGGCATCAATATTTCCACAACACTATGTTTCCGTTGTTCGTTGTTCGTTGTTCCTCCACATACTCGTGTTTGGTGTTTACCACCGCTACATTTTCGTGGGTGGCGGGATTGGAACCCGTATGCTCTTCCACCAAAATCTCCCACATCTCACCGCGACGCCAATGTGAACAAAAAAGAGGAGGACATTTTCATCGGACATCGGGCAAGACCCCAATTAAGGGCAAGACCCTTGTGAAGGGTCACTTCCACAGGAAGGCATACACATGCAACAGATTGGTGGATAAGTTCACACGACACCCACACTACAAACCACGAAACACACACGAACCTTAAGGGATTCCGTCCAAGCCTCGTTGGTGGCCGACATGGTGCTACGAAGGCCCGTGGGGTCGTACTTGAGCACGGCCGGGTTCTTGTTTCCCTGAGATGGCGCCGGGTCTTCAGGTCCTAGCTCATTCGAGATAAGCTCGAGGGCCTGTAACACACAAGACAAGAAGACAAGGCTAGCGATGGATTGTCTTGCATTCATCTAGACTTGTAAAAACGAAACGGCAACGATAAAAAACTTGTTCGTAAGGAAGCAGCAAAAATGCAGCAGTAACGCACATATGGCGGCGAGGGCGATAGTGCTTCCGTTTCCCGCAACTTTATAGAGTGTTCTTCTTTCCGACACACCCTGGTCCGACAAACCCTTCCTCGCGTCATAAATTGCTACCCCATGCAGTTGATGAAAAGGGGGTTCATAACCCACTGAGAGATTTTGGTCGAAGTGAGAGAAGTGACTTGTCATGCCGATTTCTCGCTCGGAGAGCACGTCCCTGCTTGAGACTGTGGAGCCAGGTGGAAACCGGTGTTACTTCTCGTACATCTTGGTGGAACCAAGGGTGCGGCGGGCAGGCGAAAACGCACCGATGGGGGAATGTCCCAGCACCCCAAGTCTTCGCTCGGTAATTTTTGCTCATCTAAATAGTAAAACGAGAGGGACAAGAGAGGTAGAACCAGAATTTGGAGAGAAACGTGGACACCAGATTCGAAAGACAGACAGACACCACGAGAGCACCGCCAGTCAGGTGGGATCCCCAACCCGCGCTTGTTTACGCTTTCTTGCGGTACAATTCCTTCATTCACCCCCCACACACATACACATGAATGCATACGATGTGCACCCACCTTGACCCGTTCATCCGCGAGCATCCTGAGAGAAGGAGCCACGTAAGAGTGTATCTGCCGCGGCGCCCTCCTGGTGTCCCTCTTGAAGTACCCGATGTCGTACTGAAGGTCGGGGTTGTCTACAGGACCCAATTCACACCACCACCCCCGTCGGAAGAGGGTGAACAAGAGCGGGACGGCGGCGAGAGAGACACCGGATAAGCATTCGAGAGCGTGGGGCCAGGGGTCACACCAGTTGATGATTGGCAGTGAGAAGCATCGTAGTCCCAGCCTAAACCATGACCGTTTGTGAAGAAGCAAGGGTGTGTAAACGAGCGCTTTGGCAGGGTCGATACTCGAATGGGTTGATCTAGCACATTTGCCGGGTAAGGTATACACCACCCTCATCCAAGCTCCAACAATCATGTGCACAGCTACGTTCCGAACCGTCGACAACACGTGCAATCCGGGCACTGGTGCTTTGTGTTTTTGCCCAACCAAACACTTCTGCAGTCCTTTGAGCCATTTTCAGAAGTACCAGCCCCTCAAGAGTCCCGGACAAAGGCTGCCGTGACACGCACCACTCACAAAAAACATGGCTTACAACACGAGAGACTCATGCTGGTTCCTCAATTCTGGACCACAAACACTCCCCTCTCGAAAGCACGTCTTCGGACCATGGCCCCCTCCCCAGCCTCTTGACGCCAATCTTCGCATCGCAGGCTCCAGCGGGATGCGAGGCCAATGATCTTACCACTCAAGATGGCAACTGAGGAACCTCCCCCCCACACACACACTGCCGCGCGGTTCACCTGACACCGGTACGTTCGCCTGAGGCTGCGAGTTGGGTGCAGGCGTGCGGTACTCGTTCTTTGCCTTTAGCCCCGGCGTCGCAGCTTTCGCCGGAGGTACCTTCGAAAAAAAATCGACATGAGCGGCGTTGGCGTGCGGCGGGTGAGGGGTTCGCAGCTTTAGGGGGAGGGCCCTGGGTGAGAGGGTGTGCGTTGGAGCTCAGGTTTTCCCGGCCTCTTGTCTTTGTTGCTGGATCGCAAGCGTTTGGATGTGATGGACGGAGAATCGAGTCATGCGCGAACACACCGTGCAGCACCAAGGGCCGGCGAAGGGAGATGGTGGTGGGAGTGCGATGGGCGGAGGAAAAGAGGTCCACCGATTCCTGCCCGCACATTTCCCAGATACTGTAGCTATCGATCGCCAGACCTTGGCGGGCGCTACCTTTCCTTTTGTCCTTTCATACTTTTGCGTTGTAGGATGAGTGTTTACAGTTTACCTGCCATCCTCGGTTGGGGTCCTTGGGCTTGAACTCCAGGACATTTCGAATCTGACACCCAGGTTTGGCAGCAACAGGTAACAGCAGCAGCAGCAGCAGCAGCAGCAGCAACAGCATGTTCAAGGAAAGTCCAAGGTGAGAGATCGTGTGTGAAATATGCACTGTCGTCATGATGTCGCTATACGCGTGAGAGGCAGCAAGCAGAAACACCCCCTTTGACCTTGGAAAACAATGACGAGGTGTTTCTTTTTGCTCTCCATACACAGCTGGATTTAGAGATCAACAGCGACCGAGGTCGATCTGTGAAGGTCCACCTGCGGGAGAACTGGCATTAGGTGGTCTTGATCATGTCACAGGAAGGGCAAAGACAGACGAACGCAGGCTAGCGGCATGTGAACCTCGTAGAGTTGACAAGGATGGTTGTCATATACCACAATGAACCAGACTAACGTAGGCGACGTCGAGTCTGGAGCAAACTCAAACGTGACTTGCGTGCTGCTGCATGCAGTGTAGACTGAGGCATCCAAATTTACAACGCAACACTTGCAACGAGCCAAAGGAGTGCACACTACAGGAGACCTCGCTCACACGTACCTTTACCCGCACAACATGAACATCGTAAATCCGTCTGGACGCTGCTCTAATATCGACAATGCTTCGGTCCTTCCAGTGCTTCTCCAGATACGCGACGTTGGCAAAACCCGCAGCGGATATCCGCATACTGCAACGCAACAGCCCGCGTCGTACCGACAACCAAGCACCGGATGGCCTTCACCCTTCCCGGCGCCCTTCTCTCACAAACAAAGGGTTACAGCAGTAGCCCAACTCAGGTCTCCTCTGAACAAGGATGGCAGCTTCTGTTTATCCATCAAGGAACAGATAGACCTAGACTTCGTTTCTCATCGTAAATGCGTAAAATTTTCGAATCAAGTCTTCAGTAGCCCATGCACAACGAGTGACGCTGACTTGTCGAGGCTGCCACACGCAAGCAGCGCACGGTGGGTTGCGTCGTTGGGACACGTTGCCTCGATTGACAAGGTTCCGCCGCATAATCGTCATCGACAACTAAATCACAAGGGGGGGTTCCATTAAAAAAACCACCTTCTCATGAATGTCCTTGGGAATGTACTTCTTGAACAGCCCTTCGCCCGCCTTCGCCATGGTTCGCAGAGTGTGCGCGAGAGCGAGAGAGAGAGAGAGTGCACAAGCAATCAGAGGAAAGAGGACCAGAGAGCAGAGAGCCGAGGTGGCAGTGGGCAGCACCCCTCCCTTGTACATGTTTGTTGTCATCCGCGGAGCCCCTCTAAGCTGGTGTCGTGGTCTCCTCTCTCAGAAGCTCAGCTGTCTGCTGTCTCAACTGGCGCTACTAACACTCAGCGCGTTTCTCGACACGCTTCGGGTAAATATAGTGCGAGAGAGTTCAAACACCCTATCTGGTGGGAAGGAGCGGACGGTGTGAAAGCAAGCAAGCGAGGTGTGGCCGTCGAAAAGCATCCTGCGGACATCCGTTCATCCGTTCAGCTTCGCCTGCCTGCGGAAAAGTGAAAAGTGAATAGGTATCTCAACCTCGCGGCCGCCAAGATGGTTTCCACCTTGGCACGCTTCACCATCTACTGGTGCTGCGTGGCGGCGTCATACGTCGTTGTTCTGGGCATGTTCAAGCTGGCTACGAAGGAAGCTAGCGACCGGGACTACGGGCTGTTTCAGGTGGGTATCTCTGCCCTGTTGCCTGAAAGTTCCACCCTGCTGCCCTGGTGCTGCTTGTGCCGCAACGCACGCGACAAAACTGCACGCCGCAGGTTCCGGTGGACCATCGCACATTCCCACTGGTTGGCGTTACCCAAAGCCAAGGCTAGCCCAGACACCAGCCCACGCGATGTTTCTTTCGACGTTACCGAAGCAGCATGGACCAACCCAGACCCAAAGTGTTGGGCGTGTACACTACTGCTGCATCGATCCGCAGATTTCCCGGTTCCAAATTAATGTTCCGATCGTCGCAACCTGTAGCCTGTAGCAGCAGCACACCCCCACCTAAAGCCCCTTACAGTACCATATAAACACGCTTGAAGTGGAGGCACCTCGCAAAAATGGCGTACATCCTGTGAGGCCCTCCTGCTTGTCGAGCGCGACGAGTACCACCACCTTTCAAAGGACTGTCCGCGGAATGTGTGGTGCATGTTCGATGCTGAACGGTCGGTGATCAGTTATGGTGTGTGTCACCTTGCTTGTCCTTTTCCATAAAAGTCTTGTGAGAGTGAGAGGACTTTCCTTCGCCACCATTGCATCCTTGATATTGTAGCTAATCCTTGACCTACGCTACAAGATATGCAGCACAACTCGAGCACGACGCGTGCTATGCAGAGGAGGTGCGGCCGAGGAGCAGGCAGATAGACACAGAAATACAAATGTTGCGTACCACGCACCAAAACGACACTTTCCACCCAAAGAGAGCATGCCATGCTTCATTGTTCATTTCGATGTTTCGTTCTTGATGGTGTACATGTCACATACTGCTGTAAGCTCTAGGCTAGCGCTTAGCTTCATCTCTCCGTTTTTCTGTGTCTCCGGCCCGTCTGTCTCTCGCTTTGCCACCCCCCTGTGTGTTGGTGTGCAGCTTCTCCTGGCTACTCTGGGGCTTGCCCAGCTCGCGTCGATGATGAGCAACCACGAGGACGTCATGTAAGCCGTATACCACCCTTGCTTGGCGCTTGTCACTCGACGTATTAATAGGAAGTATCACACGGATCGTATACTTGATACTAGACGACGGAAGGATGTGGGCTCAGACACAACACGTAGACGAGGAATTCGCCGGGAACAGAGCACCGCGGCACGACGTTGTCGTGTTGTGGTTCGCGATACCCGGCATTTTGGACAGGAAACTACGCTAGATACTAAAATATGCTGTGGACCTGGAATTCGACAAGCCAGCATCTCTTTGATAAGTGTGAAATGTACCATTCGGCATTTCCCGACAATTTCGCTGTTGCTTTCATGGGGCGTGCGCGTGCGTGCGTGCGGGGGGGGGGGGGGTATGGTATGACGTCACAGGAGCCCGTCCATGCTGGAGATCAACTACGGCATCATCGCCACAGTGGCGGCAGCCGCGGTGGCGCGCTGCTACCTCAAGTTCGTCAGGGGCGTCGAACCCCGAAGCGTCAACATGTCGGGGAAGGTGTGTGCCGACCCCGGCTAGAGGTGCCCGAGGCTTTTTCGCTCATGGTTGTTTTCGCAGCGGGCTGTTGTCGATGTTGTAGGCTGTAGCGGTTCTAGCAGCGGCGACGGCGGCAGGTGACTTGGAAACATGGTGGGGTGGATATTCACCCAGGGCGGGGGGCATTCCGTTTGGGCAGGGTTCCGCGTGTTTTCGACGCTGGTGTCGACGGCACGCACGATGTCCCGCGTGCTGCTGATGTGTGTGTTTTGGAGCAGATACGGTTGGACACATTCGGTGCAGTAATAGAGAGCCCCGCAGCGGCAACAGCAATACCCCTTTCTTTGCGTGCGGTACTGCTGTATGGTGCGGGGTGCAAGCGTGTGAGGTACCATGGGGGCATTTTTTTGCAGCTGCCCGAGAAACGCCCGCGCCTGTTGGGAGTTGCGCATCAATGGTAGGTGTTGGCCCGACTGATTGTGATTGCTCTCGTCAAGGGAAGTGAGCGTCCTTCCTCATGTGTTGTTTCCGAGACTCCACAAGAGACAGGCAGGGGGGGAGCGAAGCAGGCAGCCGCCTGCCTACCTGGACGGCCCGCGCCGTATGTTGTTGAATCACTGCTGCTGCTGTACTTGAAAAGCCTCACCAAACCACGATGCACCATCTCCTCTGACTTGTCCCACTCGACATGTGGCCAACCGCCTGCTGGCTTGCTTTTGTGTGCTGCCATATCTTGCATTGGCGTTTGCAGAGTCCTCCCATTGTTTTTGTAGCCGTTACGCTCTATGTCCCTCAGCCTATATTCAACACCCTCTGGCGTGATGCTTGACTGGTGTGTTTGGTTTGGCTCCCGATGGTGCAGGTGGTCATCATCACGGGGAGCAACACCGGTGTGGGGTACGAGACGGCCAAGGCCCTCGTAAACATGGGAGCGCACGTTATCATGGGTAAGAAGACGTACCATGGGTAAGAAGACGTATCATGGGTAAGAAGACGTATCATGGGTAAGAAGACGTATCATGGGCACGAGGGTTAATACGGGCAACAAAGACAAGACATGTGGTCGGCATTGGGAACTAGACATTGTCTATTATTTGCTGCTCACCCATCAGCCAGAGCGTTAATGTTGGTGGCCTGCAACAGGCACACACACCACGTGCTTCGTTTTCTTTTTCGCTGTTGGAGGAGTGCAGATACTGGAGGATAATGTTCAGCATGACCACATTTAGCGCCTTCCGATTTTTTCCGGTGCAGTGGTCGTTGCTCGAGCGCTTCGAGTGGACTCCGCTTACGCGCACACTGGTGGCAACTACTGCACCCTGGTGGCAACTGTTGCCTGCCATGACTTAAACCCGCTTGCATCATACAACCAACGACCAGAGCGTCTAGGTCTTGGGCTCTTATTCTACAGAGAGAGATGGGAATTGTGTTGCGTTCGAGAGATTGCAGAAATCTATGGTAGTGTACGTCCAAGAAGCGTTCAGTGTCAGTCCTTTGTGTGACTGCTGAAGCTGCAACCCCAGCTGCTGTCTTGTGGTATGTGTTTTAGTCATACATAAATTTCGTTGAATTGTGTTTGTTTTTTCCGTTTGTGTTACTCCTGTCAGCTTGCCGCTCGGAGGAGAAGGCCCGGAAGGCCATCGAGGACATCACGTTCGAGCTCGAGGCTGCCGCTAAGGCCATTCGCCACAACACAGACACGGGCATCAAGGGCAAGGTGAGAAAAGCGCCGTTGTAATTTCTGGCACAGATGTACCTGGCACGGTACACACTGCTACAGGTATTGCCGGCTATAGCTTTCCCCCCCTTTTTTCATTTCAGAACTTCCCTATTCTGCGGGATTTCTGCATCTCACCGAGTTTTGCATATCCAACCACACTATGCTCTCGTGATGTTGATCGACATGTTTCCACGGACCAACCAAATCTCTCAATCAGATCTCGGTCGTGAAACTGGAGATCAACCCCTTTCCTCGTCCTGTGGTATGAGTTATGCCAGCGTCATGCACCAATTTTCCTGATTAGCCTCCGTTCTCAGGGCAGTAGTACAGCAGTAGCGTGTTCTTCACTCGGTATTTTGTACTCAGGGAGGTCCTTCGCTGCGCAACTTTGCACATGTAAAAAGTGAACTTCTTTCACCGGCCCAACTACCGTCATGACAACTAGCCCGGTCCTCGTCGTCGAACACCCTTGATGCAAACACGCTGGCCTGTGGAAACGTGCTGACGCAATGGACCGATCAGTTGACCTTCATGAAGCTGGACCTGTCGTCTCTGGCGGCAGTGAGGGTGTTCGTCGCTGAGTTCAAGGCGTCGAAGCTCGGCCTAGACTCGCTAATCCTCAACGCGGGGGTCATGCACGGCGTAAGTCTTCGGCGTGTGGGGAAAGCATGATGTTGTTGTTGTTGTAGTTTTTGTTGTCTTTGACTTAGGAGTTGAAGATGTGTGACTGCTGCGGCCGTCCCTCATCTGTCTTGTGTTTAGCCTCCTCGGGGTTCGCTGACTGTAGACTACGCGTACGAACAGCTGGCACGTGCACTTGCGTGCAGCAAAATTGAAGGCTTTTGTTGGCGTGGCGCCCCCCTCCGATTTCGCCGGCTCTGGTTGTGCCACTTTAGTCCACGTTGCCCAAGTATCGTCGTTGTTTTCAAGGCCATGTCTTGGCCCAGTTGGACCGCTCTTTTTTGTTCCCGTCAAGTACCGAAAGGTATCTAGGTGGTGCGGCCTGACATGGGAGCTGACGTATATAGCCGATAACCATTCCCCTTGAACACTGTGATACTGGCAAACAAACTCCTCTTCTCCGTGCACAGTGTCAGTTGCACGTGTACCAGTCCAACGCTACGGCAGTCTCGTTCCCGTAGGTATTCATCTGTACAAACGAATACTACGGCCTCGTCTGCTGCCGTATATATGCATCCTCTGAGCATGTACACCTCGCCCCTCTCTGTTACTTTTGAGCCCTCCCCCCCTCCGCGTATCTGTGTTTTTCGATGTTGGATGTGGTCGTGACAGTGCCGAAAGGTCACGGAGGAGGGCCTGGAAGCCAACCTCGCAGTCAATTACCTGGGCAACTTCCTTCTCACGACGCAGCTGCTGCCCCTCCTCAAGCAGTCCCCGGACGGGCGAGTTTTGTGCGTCAACTCGAGCCTGCACAAGAAGGTAACACTAATTAAAGCATAGGTTAGGGCAGGCTGGCCGTGTTTGACTCTCAGTCTATGCTGTGCACGCGTTGTCGTTTAATCGAGATGCCCGGCAAAATCGATGTATGCCCCAGCTGACCAGCTGAACACTAGTTGGGCTACAATGGTGGTTTTGACATGGCGGACATCTTCCTGTCTGGTTGTCGTTGATATCGTCGTCGCCGTCGTTGTTGTTCCGATGTTTGGCGCAAGCTAGAACTACCCGAATGGGTGTCCTGCAAGTCTTCTGCGACGCCGCTGTGTCGCATGCTTTGTCATGGCGCACCCGATGCTGACTGCCCTTTCCAATGCACATCCCTCCCTCCCTCTGGACGCCTGGCTTTAAATCGAACGAAGCCTGAAGCCTTCCGGTTTGAGGACCCGATGTTCGACAGGGACTACAACATGTTCAAGGCCTATGCCAACAGCAAGCTCGCACTGCTCATGTTCGCCGAGGAGCTGCAGCAAAGGCTCAACCGCGAAAAGTCGACCGTCATCGTCAACAGCGCCAATCCAGGTGTGTTTGCTTGTGTGTCTAGTCTGCCAAATCGGTCGTTTTTGTGTCTTGAACGTTTGTTCGTTCGTTGACGAAGGGTGCTTGCTTGGTCACGATTCCGGAACTACCGTTCCCGAACGGTTAAAAAACGCAAAGCGTGTGTTTGTTTCACAAAGTGTGCTTGATCATGATCCCGGTATTTATCCCCCAAAGCTTGAAAAACACCAACCCTTTTTTCGAGGAAGCAGTGCTTATCACCCCCCACCCCCGTCATGTTGTATCGTTGGGGGATTGTTTTTTTTTTGTTCCCAGGGATGGGTTTTCGTAGAGAAGTGCGGTGTGTCATTCATGCATTTCATTGCAGTTCTCGATGAGTTGATGTCAGAGTTGTTTTCGGGCGATTGGAGGGAGCTTGACCACCCGATCGTGGCATTCCTTCGCGCAATAGATGGCGTGAAAACTACACCGTCACCAACACGACATCTACCTGCTATCTGCTGCTGCTGTTCCCGCTTGTGCTGCCGCGGCTCATGTGTCGTGTGACCTTTCCCTCACCCATTCCCATCCGTACAGGCATTGTGATGACGGGTATCTCGAGGGACATGGGGTGGTTCTTGCGAGTAGGGCACGAGGTGTTCAAGCCGTTCTTGAAACTGTTCCTGAAGCACCCGAAAGCGGGAGCGTTCACGAGGTAAGCCTATTGCACGGATCCCCTCCAAGTCACCAAATTCCGGTGTTTCTATGTTGAACTCTCGCCTCGAATTAAGCGCGGAATGACTGTTGCGGACGGTTGCTGTCTCACTCCCAAGTTCGAGTATCCTGACCTATCTACAGTACATTGCATCCCAAAACTTGTCAATAATTGTTTACAGGCATTTATGACTGACGCCGAGTTTTACTGGGTTGAAGGGTGAAAGTGTGGGTATAGCTTATACAGAATTTTGGTATAACTGGTCTCCTTTTGCCCCGAATCGAAATAAGTCACGCCGCAACATCCTATATAATTGTGTTCGACATGGATCGCTCGTTGTTTGCCGTGGTCCTTTGTCCGTTGCAGCGTATTTGCTGCCACAACGCCCCAGCTCCGCAAGAGCACCGAGGACGGGGCGCCGGGAGTGGGCGGCCTATACATGTCGGACTGCGCGCCGCAAGCGTTCAACCCGGCAGTAGCGTGAGTGTTCTGCTACAGCGTCAGTCTATCCTCTACTGCTGTAGTTGTTTGTTTTCCCTCCTGTTTTGTTTTGATATTTCGAAAATGGGCATCACTCAGTTGCGGTGGTGGGTTTTTCCCCGAGGCAGTGGCTCGTAAACGATTGCAGGTGTGTCGGCAGGGTGGCCTGTGATCTGTGCAAGGTATATCCCAGCTCTTTGGCGAGACAGTTGGGGAAAGTGGTTCTTACGAAAACGTGTTTGTTGGCGGGACGCGTGCACATACTGCGTGTTGCGACCAGGCAGATCTACCTTAGTACGTACTCCCGGCCGCGTTTTGGTACTGGCTTTTGGGACGGGTTTTGGAGGGGAGGGAAATCGCTTGTGACACCGAATAAAGGGCTGCTGAAGAGAAAAAGAGGTCGAACGTGAAAGTGTGCTGCCTTTCCCAACAGCAGGAGAAAATGTAGCTTGTGTCTCAGCGTTATCGATGTCGTGCTTGAGTGGGCTGTAATCTCTGCCCACCCTCATTAAGGAAACCGGAAATTCGGTACCAACACATAGACAGCAGTGCCTTCCCTTGCCCTTTCGATGAGTATTGCGCACTCCTTTCCCCCACCTGCACGCAGTGACCTGGTCCCTTCGCAACGTAGTTTACATGGTGCGCGCCTTCCTTCTACTTCCTTCGTTGATCCCCCCCCCCCCCTGCTCCACGCACGTATCTTGTCATTGTCATTGTCAGCGTGGACAAGTCACGCAAGGACCTGTGGAAGCTCTCCGAGGAGTGGGTATCCGCCGGCTCGAAGAAGAATCGTTGAGGAAAAAGGCAGAGATTAATATTTCCCGTTCCAAGCCTTTCCCTCGTTCAAGTTTGCGGCACTACCAGTTTGATGTGCCGCTCCTAGCGTGAAGGAGAGAGGTCGTGATTAATTGGACGTGCGCGGCTGTTCGTGCTCCCTGCTTGATTTTGATTATTGCAGTTTTTGTCGTGAGCCAGACCAATAGCTTCATATCGTGTTGTGCCTCTATAGGTGGGCACAGCCGTGTGGCGGTACACCTAGCGTTTGCAAGAACAGCGTGTGTGTGTGGAGTAGTCTAGCGTGTGGTTTGGGAGTTTCCGTGATACCACATGGAGACAGCAGTTCCTTGATGTGCGTACAGGTTTCGATTTTACGAGGTATATATACACACACACGTCGCAGTTTCTGCCTACCGTGCTTGGCGGGATTCCGTACCATAGGGGACATCGATGTCTCCGAAGATGCGTTTGTTTACTTGTTATTTGTTTGGAGTCATCAGTCATCACAGGAAAGGCACGCACACAGAGGAGGTGCTTCAGGCAGAACACGGGATCAAAGTTGAGACGAGAGTTTTTGCGGTATTTTCCAGCGACGGTGATGCTAACCGGTACGGCCCCCGCGTGCCGGTTATTTTGGCCGCCTCGCTGCTTGGGAGGCAGAGAGAGAAGAGGGGGGGGGGGGGCGTGGCTGCCCTTAACGGATGGAAGGGTGTGTACTTTTACGTTTTCAACGGATGCGGACGTGCTCCGGGTTTGTTTTGCTATTTTCCCGCGATCGCTCTCAACAGAGACGTGCGATTGTCTTTGTCTGAACAGGAAGCTTTCGGGGTTTTGTTGTGTTTGTGTGCGAGTCTTGTTGCGGTTCCGTTGGGTACGTATGTTCGGTCACGCACAACGGTTGCGAGACGAAAAGAGAACGACAGTTGACTGCGTCATCAATCCACCGCGTTTTGGGACGTTTGGCTTTCTTCGTGGTATTGCAGCATTTCCAATGCTAAGCTGTGGAGTGTGTGGAGGGCATACCAACATTCAGCCATCATCAGACAGGCGGACGGATGGAAAGTGCTTGCAACTTCCCTTCTTCCCCTGGCGCTTGTGAACCATCGTTGAAAGCCGGATTGATTGCAAGATGATGACCCGACAAGCATAGTATTCCACCATACACAAGCACTCCTTCACAATTCGCTGCTTCCATCCCTCTATGCGCCCGCCTATGCACAAGAGCATATAATTTTTCCCTCGAAACGCGGCGAATAGTCTATCGCGGGGCACACATGTCGAGATCAAGATAAACCACAGTGGATTGGTGATGTGTTTGTTGGAACAAGCAAAATTGGTAGGCACACGGCTTTTCCCGCGTCGGAGGGCTTGTCAATCCAGCTGTAGATTGGACGGGCTTCAATTTGGTAAAGGATAGGCAACGTATAGGTACAAATCGATCGAGACCGGAGCAATTTGGTGTCGGCAGCACCTCCTGCTGCATGCTCGTGTTTCCTACTTGAGAGTGCCGGTCACCGACACAGCCAACCGTCAACGCAAAAAAGCACCGATCAAGCTGAAACTTGCGGAGGGCTTCTAAAGTAGTGCAGGACGGTCTTCTCGCGTCTCGGGCGTTCGGCTAAAAAAAGTGCGTGGTTCAGGCCTTCGGACTGAAAAAGACCATTCATTCATTTCACATTTTTTTACCGTTCTGTGAGACTTTCTAGAGACCGTCTCTTAGAGGAATGCGGAACATTACATTTCCTCCCTGCTTTGTCCCTGCGCTAAAAGCGGGGCATTGTTTTTGTTTTTCGGCGAGCAAATGAGCAAGCTGTCTTTCCAATTTCCAACTCCTTGCAACCCGGATTTCCATCGAAAGCTCGCTCTTGATGAAGCCTATCCCAGTTTTAAGCGTGCACCAAAGAACAACCTTCTTCCGTCTTCCAGTGTACCCCTGGCCAAAAAAGCAACACCAAAGGATACAGAAGCTAACTGTATGTATATGCATAGGAGAACCCAACTCGTCGTTTTCTGTAGACTACTGTAGGCAATCAACATACCAAAAGCGGCTTGCTCATAAGTCAACGCACGTTGAGTTGGTTATCGAACCGTTCCGTCAACGTGAAAGCAGCAGAAATCACCACCTGCGACATGCCCCCCACGCGCATGCATACCTCCAATCACCCAAAGAGCGATCCAACACTAACTGCCTACCGCTACGAGATACCAAGGTGCCACATACAAAGTACAACATGGCATACCGTACACACATATCATACCAAACTGATTCGCCGAGCTCATCAGACAAAAATCTTGATGGCGGTATGAACGCTACAACAGTACCTCAACGACGCTGCAATATGAATCGCTGGCGGCGTTTTCGAGAGCGGTGGCAATGTCACGCAAAGGCACTGCGAAGACCGCCACTGGTGCTGTCTACTTACGCATAAATTACAAAAAGATACTAACAAAGGAGAAAAGACGAAGTGCGGTCGCCGCATTTTTGTGACGAGTCGAAAATCTGCAAAAACAAAAAGAAGACGTCGCTCGCTGCCGCTGCTTTCGTGTAGAGAAGCCTGCTATTACTCTACTGCGGCCTAGTGGCAAGCATACACAAACGCAAGAAAGTGCAGGAAATCAACGTTTCCAACATCACACAGCTGAAAGTAAACACATCGCAGACACGAGGAGTACGACATCCTTTCCTTCCAGCAACTAAACTCGTTGAAGCTACGCATATGAACCAGCCCTACGACGATAACATACGGCCTAGGGTAGAGGTCACCAGTCAGTTGGTAAATATTGATACATGTTGTGGCCATCGGCAGAACCTCACGCCCCTGTCGTTCACACCACTTACCAACTGCTCGACGCATCGTGTGCAGATGCTCCAAATATGGGAGTTCATCTCTTCGCCTATCTTAAACCTAGCGAACCTTGCTGCTCGGTCTACGATAGGAGATAGATGATCTCGTCTTCTGCGACTCGTGTCTAATGCACTACTCTACCACCACCCCCAACGAAACACTCACATCCATATGCGGAGCAGAACAAGGCACGTCAAGTCTGATACCCCCCCCCACCGACCCCTTCTAGCTTAAGCGCGCGGAAATAAAAATAAACAGAAAGAACGGTAGGTTACGCAAGCGTGAAAACACCAAAACAAGAACAAAACTGCTGGACGAACAAAAATCTCACAAGTGATCATGCAGCGCGTCAGAAAAGACATCAATTGTGACGCACGTGCTCCTCTACATCCGAAGTCAAAGGCCCGTTATCTGGATCTGTTTCCTGTTCTTGCAATTGACGTACAGTAGCAAAGGCACTCGAATATATGTACCGAACGCACATCATGCAGTTCCATTTCACATCCCCTGCAAATTTCGTACTGAATCAACGAGGAACACAAGCACCATACAGAAAGCAAGTCATATTTAAATACGCATTAAAACGAACAAATGGCACTGCATTTATCTCCACCCAGGAGAATTCTGGTGCAACTGTCGAACAAAAACAAACCGGCCAGAAAATTACAAAACATACGCATCAAACCGAATAAATAGCACTGCATGTATTTCCATCCAGGACAATATTCTGGTGCAACGATTGATTTCCCGTTTCGCGCTCAAACAAAGGACACGCACATGGCAGGATCAGAACGGAAACACAAATACGTAAGCTACAACGCAGCCGACAGAGGGTGCAGCAGAAAATAAAAAACATAGAATCCCAATTTCAAGTCTGTTCCCGTCTCCCCATTATCCATTGTCTGATCAGGCCGCAACTCCACGACGTGCGATGCCAAGACTTCCAGGTGGAGAAGACGACACACGGCCGACTGACGCAAAAAACGAGTACACCCCTCGGCAAAATTGAGTATAGCCCCCCCACCCCCCCGCCCCTCCACCATTCGTCGAGCCCCCGGCCCTTGGCACACACCCACTCCGCCCTCTCATAGTAGACCGTGGCTGCGTGCCTGTTGGTGGAAAACGTCGACGGCGTGCTCATACAGCAGCAGGTCGAGCCGCATGTACTTCTTTAGCTCGGAGTCCGTCCAGGCTTGCTGTAGCGTCTCTATCTCGAGCTGCTTGTTTACGATGTCTACGTGATGCTTCCCGCTCTCGGCGAATTGCTCCTCCCAGTTCATCACCGGCATGTCCAGCGTGTGGTCGAAGAGCCGGAGGGTGGTGTTCCATTGCTCTAGAATGCCAACCGCCACGTAGCCGTCACGAACCAAGTCCTGACGGTTTCGAGTGCGAGTGGGAGTGACGAGCGGAAAAAAAAACAAAGAAAAGAAACAGAAACAAACATATATCACAGCGGGCGATCGGTGAACATTTCGGGAAATCAAACATGCATATTCAGGTTGCTTGAATCCGTCCCGCGAGAACACGATTGTACGGGACAAAACTCTCCAGTTGCGAAAAAAACAAGAGAAAAAAACACAGAAAAAAGATGTACGTCCACGTCCGTCATGTCAAAAGCCCTGTATATTGCGCCGAAGCTATTTAATCCATGTTTTCTTGTTGGCGGCGAATATTACTGTTGTGGTCCGGTAAGTAGAACGAACGAACGCACCATCGCCGGCTGCAGCAGTTCGTACAGCGGGGCGTCCGGAGTAGCAGCAGCGTCCTGGTGGGCCGTCATTGCCTCTCTCTGCCCCAACACACCCCCATCCTCCTTCTGAGGCCTTTCCAGGTACATTTTCAGCTGATACCTGAGGTATGGTCGTTGGGAGGGAGGAGGGGGGTCGCATAATTGCCGGGGACGTCCTGGAGACATGCCTTCATCGCAGTTGAGGTGCAGGACGGTACACTGAGCGTATACGTGGGGATGGGGACGGGGACCAAGCTCGCACTGCCCTTTTAATAACAAGCACGTCCGTCCCTTTTCCACCTTTCTGTCCTTCTCTCCTTCTCTATCCCCACGAAAACAGAATAAATAGCTCATGTCTACAAAAAAATCGTGTCGCTGCTGGTTCCATCTCGTTCGAACCTCACGCCGGAACCTGCAATATGCATAGGTCTCTTCTCCTCAGTCAACCCGTGCGCCCCTCCCCTTCTTTTGCTAGTGCTAGTGCTAGTGCTACGTAGCGCTTACCAGCCCGCAACTTCTTGCAGGTCAAAGTCGTGGAGAGCCTGCGCCTCCGGTGTCCGAATGTACCTGCCACATCACCACAATACCGGGAGTAACGGTTACAAAAATCAGTCGATGCGAACAGCTGTTGAAACGCGGGGGGGGCGGGACGACACTCAATTTGTACAGACCACAAGAGTCAAAGAAGGTTGTTCGTCAAGCAGAACAACACCAGTCACCCGCGCTTCCTCCAAATACAAACACGAGCGGGTGATAAAATGAGGGAAACAGCAGCAGTATCGAAGACAAAAACTCACTCCTGTACGTCATCGGAGGGCACGAAGCCTAGCGCGAACTGCCGGAGTGCGAAGTTTCCCCAGTGCTTGGCGAAGGTTAGCAAGTCCACGTCCTTTGCTTGCATGACCTCAGAGGCGCAGGCCACGTCGCCCGAGACGGACCGGCAGTAGAAGTAGGCCGAGACCATACGCGCGATCGGGCTGGATCGACAAAACAAGAGAGAGCGAGGGAGGGAGGGAGGGAGGGAGGGAGAGAGCCACCACGAAGGTACGGTGACGGGATGACAACAGCAACAGAGGCGGCAGCAGACAACCAATCAAGCAGACGCTATTGAGCGCTCGAGGAAGGGGTGCGGGGGAAGGGGGAAAGCAACACCAAGACGTTTTGACAATCAACCCCTCCCTGATCGTCGGCGCAATGCCTGACGCATCTCGACATCTGAAACGTTTCGGGGGCCGGCACGAGAACCTGGTACTGGTATTCCAGCCTATTCTGCTCCCTGGAAGGAATCGAACCGATACTGTGTGACCTCAAAGAACAGTACTCGAACAAAACAACTGCAGAGAGGCAAGAAAAGGAAGAGGGATCAAACATCGTGCGTTAGGACAGCAAAACAGCCAAAACCGCACAGACTATGTGCGTAAGAACATGCCGAAAACATCGCGGCACACAAGTCATGTTGGACAGGCGAGGCGGGACCGGTCTCGTTGATTGATCCGTTTCTTGACCTAGACCAAGTCTCCGAGAATGTTCTTTCCATCCACAGGCGGTGCCGCTTGTTGTCCATGACAAGGGCGGGGGGGGAAGGACAAAATTCCGTTGAGAAGGGGTGCGAAATCCTGTGTCCATCGATAGCCTTGTCGAGGCAAGGTTCACTCACTGTCGGAAGAGCGTGAAAAACCGGCAGCCGGCGCCGACGGGTTCGGATAATCTGAGAGCCTCGGTGTACCCGCCGGTCATGACGTTCCACTTGTCTCCAAGGGCCAGTTTCGCACCGAACTTCGCCGAGAACTCGTCCCCGAACTTCCACCGCATCGAGTCGTAGATGAAGAAGCGAGACCCCCACCTGTCTTCCAGCAGGTCCTTTACCGTGCTCCCGCCGCACTTCTGCAGGTGCATAAAAACCCAGCACTGTCCTGGAGACGCGGGCGACTGGACCGTAGCCGCCACAGAAGCAGCAGACCTACTGGCACCATCCCCGGCAAGCGCAACGCCGCCGTCGGGAGTTCCGTCGATCCCGTCCTCGTGCGACTTACCCTCCTGTACTTCCCCTTCCCTCGATCTCAACGAGCCATGCCCCTCTTCCACGGCACTCCCCGGGGTAGTAGCCCCTACTTCCAGGACGCCGGGGGCGGCGGCCTTAGTCTCCTCCTCCTCCTCTGCCGCCGCCGCTTGCTGTGGTCGGGGGGCAGCGCCATATCGGTCCTCTGCGGAATGCCGTTCCTCTGCGGAATGCCGGCCCCGCGCGGAATGTTGACCCTCTGCGGAAAACCGGCCCTCCGCGGAATACTGGCCCTCCGCGGAAGAAGCGTCATCCGGTTTCGGCGGTGCGACGATGGCCGGGTGCACCGCGGCCTTGGACAGGTACGCGAGGGAGCACACGCATGCGAACACGCAGAGCGCGATTTTGGACCACGGTGGGAGGAACGACGCCCTCATCGATAAAGGGGGTGGCGGCGGTCGCCGCCTCGCCGTAGATAGAATATTGTTCACGGCTCCCTTTCACAGCCCGTCGGCCCTGCACGGCTGCTGCTGCTCCTGTTGTTATGGCGGAGGGATGTGCGGGCGGGAGCGCGCACGCGCAGAGGGGGAGAGGGGGGGAATATGTTGTCGTACAATAGTGGTAGGAGCATTGCGTGGCCGCCCCGGTGGATATTTATTGTTGGGGCGGTTATTTTGACATAAAGAGGGAGCAGCCTACGTAGAGGGGCGGGGATGAAGCTGAATTCCTGTTCGAAGGGCCAAAGGGTAACATAAAAGAAAGGGTAGTACTGTAAAGGATGCGAGAGAACGCACGGGGTGCGATGACCCCGATACGTGCAATACGGAGTAAACTCTAAACCTTGCAGCAGTAGTACAGGGTGCTTTCGACCCCCCCCCCACGTGCGAATACTCCGATACCCAACATATCACGGCCGTACTGCAGAACACACAACACCTTGCACGACATGAACTGCGAGGTACCTCCGGCGCAGTGGGTGTCCCAAAACACTCGGAGCACTCGGTGCCATGTCACCGATCCCTGTGCGACAATCGAATGAAATCAAAATTCGTGTTGTCTTCTTATCGCACGAGGGTGGTATATCACCGGTATACGTGCGATATCACCGAACCGTGCGTTCTCTCGCACCGTCCTTACGGTACGCGTGCGAGTTGGCCTGTGACCAACTACAAGTACATCCGTTCTTTCACCTCACGGAGACACAGAGGGACACGAGGAGGAGGACGCTGGATCATGTACAGAAAAAAGTTCACACAGAGACCAGTTGGAGCCGGTTCTCAGATAGTTACGTTGGAGTCTTTTCAAGTAGAGTGAGGGTTGAGTGAAAACTGCTGGATGCAGGGCTTGGTCTCTTTGAGTTCATGCGCAATGCGCATACTGCAGCGGTAGTTTTTTTTTTAGTTTGTTTTGTGTATTCTCTACATGTACGTGCCAATCTCGGAAAAAAAACAAATATTCGTTGTTTCCTTTCAAGAACAACAACTGCCGTCAGCTGGGAGGCCGAAGAGGGGACATCTTTTTTAGGGAAAACGACACAACAGGGTATACCCTGGTCGAAAAGCGACACACCTGGGTACACAGTCATTAACAGCAGTAAATGCATTCATATGATTGGTCAGCGCCCAATTTCACCCCGGTACGTCCGAAAAGGCGCAGGGTATACCCTGCTGTGTCTACTTTTCTCACCAACTGTACCCTGTTTTCGGAAGTGTACCCTGACCTGACGGGAAATAAGACCCATTCATCAATCATTTCCCCCGCAGGAATCTTCCCAACTCCTTTTCCCCTCCAACAATGGGGTACCAAACGGCGAATCTTCCCACCCAATAACAACCATGGCAACCGTGACCACGGGCTGAGAGTCTTTGCTAGATTTTGGCATTTAGCAATTGGCATACGGTTTAATGTGAAGACAACAACAACAACAACAACAACATGGCAACGCGGCAGGAATCAGTTTCCGCCCCTGCCAAACAACACCAACCATCAACTCTTCCGCTCAAAAATCAACAACGGCAGGGCGCTACCCCAGCACAGCAGTTGTTCCGTTTGGAAACATGCACACACGTGTACAATACCCCGTGCACCACTGCTTGCTGCAGTCTATCTATATGCGACATGCACGGGTCCACGCTACGAAAGCGAGACCGATCCAGCATGGGTGACATGCATATATATGCATGTATGCGCCCATGATGTGTGGCGCTGCGCTGAGCGGGCGGAGGAGAGAGGAAGCAACACCACACACAGACACGCCCTTGACATCAATCATGGAAGGAGTAGCGAGTGCTAACAACTCTAGCAGCAGGACTATGTCGTCCAACTCAATCACCCTCACTGTGCTCGCGGTGTATTTCATCGGCTCATCCCGCTGAAGCCTGACGTCTTCTTACTACATACTTCATTGATTGGTTGGTCGGCTTGGTCGGCTGGTAAGCGCAACCGCTGCTGTTACAGCAGTAGTAGTAGTTCAAGCAAGAAACACATCGCAATTTAGACACAACAGACAACACACCCACGCACACACGGCACAGGCAGGAGGGAGTGGCGGCGCCCAACGTTACCCGTCCGTGTAGTGCTGTGTCCATACATGCATATATATATATATATGCATGTCAACCATGCTGGATCGGTGTCGCTTTCATAGCTTGACCCATGCATGTCGCATATAGACTGCAGCAAGCAGTGGTGCACGGGGTATTGTACGCGTGTGCATGTATGTTTCCAAACGGAACAACTGTGCTGGGGTAGTGCCCGGCCATTGTTGATTTAGAGCGGAAGAGTTGATGGTTGGTGTTGTTTGGCAGGGGCGGAAACTGATTCCTGCCGCGTTGCCATGGTTGTTATTGGGTGGGAAGATCCGCCGTTTGGTACCCCATTGTTGGAGGGGAAAAGGAGTTGGGAAGATTCCTGCGGGGGAAATGATTGATGAATGGGTCTTATTTCCCGTCAGGTCAGGGTACACTTCCGAAAACAGGGTACAGTTGGTGAGAAAAGTAGACACAGCAGGGTATACCCTGCGCCTTTTCGGACGTACCGGGGTGAAATTGGGCGCTGACCAATCATATGAATGCATTTACTGCTGTTAATGACTGTGTACCCAGGTGTGTCGCTTTTCGACCAGGGTATACCCTGTTGTGTCGTTTTCCCTCCTTTTTATCCCTTTGTAAGATAAAAAGGCGCTCCATTGGATTACTTCTCAGGTGAGCACTGCTAAGTCCGCGTAAGCGTAGGCACCACTACTCCAGGCCGCAGTAGTCCAATGTCCAACCGTGTCTGACAAGGGCCGTCCCATAAAAAAATGCGGCTCATGCAATATTCTTTGGCCCACAGGCGGAAAAAAGAACGATAAAATAAAATAAAACTCGTGGTGGTCTCTCTGGTGAGACCATGCAGGTCACGTGCGTGTGGAGATATCTAGTACAAAACTTCGCAACTTTAGACGCACCACCGAGACTACTATTTCGCTGTTTCGACTCCAACCAGTGGAAACTGCCGGCTGCGGAGGCAGCATCTATTGTAGACAGATCTATGCCTAGACAGGCGGTATGTAGACATGTACTCATGGTTGGACGTAAAAAACATGCGGAGGAATTAACGGAGCTGTACCAACGGCACGCCACGCTCGTGTTTGTACTGCTGTTGACTGCTGTTCGCTGCTCCTGCTGTCTTGAGGGGGCTGCTGGGGACCAGCGACATGACCTTTTAGGAACTCGAGCTGGTAGAATCTCTCTCACCTGGTTGCGGTAGTGATGCCTCTCGTACGGGTGGCCGCCCACAAACTTATATGGTGGAAACGTTCCAAGAGAAGCCGAACAACATGCGTGTCCCTCCAGAAACAACAGCAGTCATCACGGTATTACTTTACAGCAGTATTCAGCAGTACATTGTAATCGACAGCAGCAATCCCCACCTGACGATCCCACGGTAGAAGGAAGGGGTTCGGAGCACAGCTGGGTGCACCGTATTGCACCGCGGAACCGTGGGCTGAGAGCGGCTTGTGGGTGCTGAGACCCAGAGCAGGGGGGCAGGTGCAGCAACGTGGCTGCAGGGTGGGGGGGGGGACAACCCAAGGCAGATTCATCAGAAATCGAAGGAGGCGTTTGAAATGGTTTCAGCAATTGGTAATAAGATTAAGATTTCGATTGCAAGATTATTTCGTGTTGCAGTTTGGTTGCTTGCTCTCTTCACAAGGCACTCGCGACGGAGTGATTGACAAACCTCACGCACGGCATACAATGGGCGGTGGGAGTTGTACCTAAGCACTGGCGTTCAAGAAGGCAACGAGTTACTCTCTGGCTATTTGCACCAAAACCAGCGGACAACAGTCAAAACTGACCACCATGTCGGATCTTCGGTCGGTGTGGAGTGGCTCTTGATCTTAGAGGTGTGGGATTGACGCACGGCCGATGATTGCTGTCGCGGATGGATACTAGGCATCTAGATGGGTGTGGGCATGGATGATGGGTATTCCCTATGTGCTGCTTACGCGTAGTACCACATGTATTCTGGTCCACCGGTCCACGACCTTCCCCTGTGGAGAATACCGCGAAGAATGAATGTGTTGTCGCCCACCGAAACCTGCTCAAGATGATCTTCACAAGGCTTCCGTTCCTGGCCTGGGTGGAAGCGCCAGTTCGTGTGTACACAGAGGGAAGAGAGCGCTGCACACTCTTCTCGCATTAAAAAGAATCGAAGGCAAAGTACCGCAGGAGGGGTGGGTAGGGGGCGTGAGGGAGAGGAATCCCTTCTGTGTGACCATGGGTTGGAGTAAACGGCACAAATTGCCGTTAGCGCTGATGATCTTCAAAAAAGATGGAAGACCAAAAAAAAAAAAATTCGTCACGAGCCTGCCCTTTCTTGTTTGCGAAGTTATGTCCTGCTATAGGGTCCATCTACACTCAAGTATGTTCCGTTCCTCTTCGCTGCTTTTCCTCTCAACTCATCGCCCACATGTAGTTTAAAACGTCCAGCGTGTAGTAGACGTCCAGCGTTTCCGTCATGCATAATCTCATGTTGTACATAATCTATCCAAGAGGTCTCTTTTCAGTAAGGGCGCACGACGTTTTGTTTTGTTTTTGGACATTTTCGAAGGCGCACGAAGTTGTCTTAATTTTTTGGAAGTTTTCGAGGGCAGGGGGGGAGGGTACACGTACATACAGCAGTAGTTCACGAGAGCACCCCCTGCCGTAAGAGGTGGAGAGGTTGCACCCCTCCTAGACCGACTTTCAAAGATCGATTGCTCTGCAAGCGAGTGGGTGTGGAAAGAGCCCGATACTTGCACGGAAATCCCTCGACAAGATGCATGTTTTCAAAACCACCATTGTTGGTGTTGGTATAAGCATGCAGGGTTGGTTATGGAGCGATCGAGCGGTGAAACTCGGTCTACGGCGGGTACCCTCTCTCCGCCTCTTACGTTAACCCGCTCAAAGTATGCGTGAAGCGTCGTCACCACTTAGTTAGATAGATAGCAGCACAAGATCCCCCACGTGAGGCTTATTGCGTTAAGTGGGCTCTAACCTCCAAGAGAAGGAAAACGTCGAACAGCATTTACATTGTCGGCCCTCCCAGGAGGGGGAACGTACTTATGTCTCGCACGCCGTAGTAACTGGTAGACCATTGGCAACGCAGCTCGCCTCGGGCAACTGTGCTGGTCCTCCAAGAGATCCTCGGTATATTGTTGAAGGTGGTGTAGAGAGCACAGGCGAGATTAAGATTAAGATTCGCACACGACCAATCAATCCCTGTGTGCAATAAAGTACGCGGGTCCTCAATCTGATGTAGAAATATAATGTGGAGAGTACAGACAAGAATAGGTTCGCGTCTGCATACAACCACAATCAATCGGTGTTGCGTACACAAGCACGCACGCTTTATATTATTGCTGCATTCTACAGCGTTCGATGTCAGACGCGTCTGTGCTGGTGCACCGATCTTTGAGAAATTGACCACGTGTCCTCAAGGACGGAGCCGATGGCCAATCGGCCCTTCCTACTCTGCCAAATTGTGGCCCACAACCGTTTCCCCTATCTTATCTCTATCACATCTAGGTAGGCCTGTTCAGGTCACTTCCCCTGCCTTAGTACACCTACCGTCTCTTCCCGGCTTTGCCGTGTCTCAATCTTCTCTCTGTACCTCCCATTTCCCCCAGCTCAGTCATGTACAATGTTCGCTCCATTTCGGAAAATGGACCTTCTGCAGCTGCATGAAACCGGTCGGAGTCGCTTTCACAATTGAACTTGCCGTATTCGTCCACCTTTCTAGATTCGGGGGGCACCTAGCTAGGTCTGCGGGATGACTTTCTACGTGCACCCTTGATCTCAGGAGGAAAACCACGTCCAGTGTGCAGCCTGAGCTTCACCCCCAAGACGTACTATCATAGCAGCCGAAATCGAACCATTCGACCAGTCAGGTTTTAAGCAGCCGGGCTACTGAAGTCTCATGGTTTGACCTCGGCTGCTAAAGCACTCGACAGTCAATCCGTAAAGCCCCCTGCACGATATCGAGTGGACACCGATAACACGGTTACGTCTTATCAGGGTCATGTTACGTCTTAGCACGATATTCACAACCATCTCGACATCTACAGGCGATGGACATTGTCCAGGCCCCCATGTTGTGCGATACCATATGAATGCCTCTGCTGATTGAAAATATCGACAGCCTGCCCATACAGGCGAAGGTCGAGCGACAGGTGTTTCACGATTTCCGGATCCGAGAGTGCCTGTTGAAGCACGTCTTGCTTCTCTCCCTTGAACCGCGTGTCTACGTTTAGCTTCCCGGAACGCTCGAACTCCTCGCGCCAGGTCATCCCAGGCATGTCCAAAGCTGAGTCGAAGAGGGACAGCGTGGCGTTCCAGTCTTCTAGGATCCCGACGACCGCATAGTTATCCCGAAGCAAATCTACCACGGGCCTAAACATGTACTCCAACCTGGTTCCTTCAGGAGAAGTGTCGTCTGCCACCCCCGACCGATCGTTCAGAAACAGCTTCAGCATGTACCACCCCGGCATCAGTTCTACTTGCTCTGCCGTCAACCCCATAGCGCCCCCGCCATTGGGCGAAACAAGGAAATCCTTCACTTTGTCATGAGAGACGAATCCCAGGGCGAACTGGCGGAGCGCGAAGTTGCCCCAATGTCTTGCGAACGTCACCAGGTCGACGTTTCGGCTGGACACGAACTCCGACGCGCACAGCTGGTCACTCGGGTCTTCCCTGGGCGAGGAGAGCGAGCATAAATGAGAGCAACGTACATAGAAAAGGATACCTGAGAAATGGGCAGGAACACAGGGAAACAATAAGACTATCCTTTTCCGGGAACAGAGGCGCAAGCGTGTCTCTTCAACACAGACAGAACACCCCCGAGAAAAAACATAAGTTCGGTCTCGAGGAGGACACGCCGTCTGCAAACTGCGGGTGGGCCTGTAAGTATTCGCTCACAAATGAGAAAACAAGAATCAGGCCAGGATGGGTAGATCTGAGCACCATCATGTTTAAATTCGGTCCATAGGAAACAACCCTAACCTGACCTGCAGTAGTAATACGCGCTAACCAAGCGGGACACGGGGTGCCGAAACACAGTGAACCAACGGCATGGTGTGCGTTCGTCGTCAGGTTGGAAGGCCGGCGTTCTGCGCAAGGCTTCGAGATAGCCGCCGGCAGCCGCGCTCCACCCGGCAGGCGAGGCTAAGCTTGCGGCCACCGATTCCGCGTAGCCTTGCCCTTTCTTCCACTGGTACGAGTCGTAGGTCGTACTTTCCGAACCCCACGAGTCAAACAGGAGACGTTTTACCGTCGTTCCTCCGGCTTTCTGTAGGTGGTTGAAGATCCAACAGCGGTTCTCGCTTCGGGGCGAATCCTCTATGTTCAGGGCCGGCGCATCTTGAGGGCTTTTCTCGGCAGCGTCTGGTCTAGGCAGAACATGAGCGTGATGGCCGCCGTAGAGCAGACAAAGGAGCAGACCCCCACCGAGAAGACACTTGGACGTAAAGGATGGCGGTCTTGCCGCTGCCTGCCTTTGCCCGTCTGTTACTCTTTTTGGTGGTCGCCCTCTGAAGGACCTGTAGAACAACGAAACAGGTTGCATGCGGTCGAGGTTGTTCCGGCGGTAGGTGCAGCACGACGAGGAGAGAAGTGGGGTGAGTTGTGCGAAAGAGAAAACACATACGGTTATGGGATGGTGTTCTTTGCTACGGGAAATAGAAACAAAACCGCGACTCGCCGTTCGCCGTGCAATTTAGCTTTGACGTCACTTGGCTACTTTCGTGCTGTCGGCGGTGCATGTGTTTCTAACAAATGGCATTGACCGCGCGGCTAAGCACCTGGACCAAGGAAAATACGGTTATTCCTTTAACGGGAACAAAATTACGCGTGTGCGTGAGCCGCCGTGTCGCCCCATCTTTTTTGGACGCCAGTTTTTGCACCTTGCACCTTTCGGTGTTTTTGCTGCCCGCATCAGCCGAGATCATACAGGAGGAACGCCACACAGCAGTGTTTTCCTTCAATATCGAGGGGGAGAAGTCTTATCGCGACAACAACTCAGCCGTTCGTTTTCCTCGTCGATTGCATCTCTTGAAGTAGCACCGACCGCGCTAACTGGCTGGCCAATGAAAAAAAGCGTGTCTTAATTAACGCGAACATGCTTTCTAGCGAGCGGGCTCGACCGGAGGTTCCAGTCTTCGAATTCAGAGTCCTTGTAAATGGGAAAAACTCAACACCACCACACGTGGCATGCTGCGGCCTGTCACCTAACCCTGCGTGTTGAAATGCCAATTAGGACGTCGATTAATTGGAGCTCGGTAATGTTTGTACGACGAATAACATGCATGCGTAGACTAAGCCTAAGAACAGTCGTGACATTATTGGTAATTCACGTGACGTCCCATGGGACGATTGGGAAGTCCCATGGGACGCGTGGGACGGTCCATCCAATGGACGGCGCATGGACACGGCCAACACATACGGGTTGAACAGGCAAAAAACAAGCAAACCTTGTACCTTGGTACTCAATTTGGCAGCTACGGATGGATGTACATGTAGTCTAGATAGAGCAGCCATTGTCGACAGCCATTTGCGCATTTGCGCGACTTGTGTGTCAATTTTCGTCGAAACGTGAACTCGACGATCACAAATAATCTCAATTCTGCTGTTGAAAATGACCCACAACGTCACGGAGACTTGATTTTCTGTCTTGATTCTGAGTTGGAAACTGCGTGCTGTCGCAGGCCGCCAGTGCGCCAGATTGCCCGAGGCTCGCTCGTTACTTCCTCTGCTGGGCAATCGTCAACCATCGGCGGAGAAGATTTAGAGATTTAGTACAGGGTGGCATCCGCGTGCGTGCTAAGATGCTGGGCGCATGTCGTCAAATTTGAACCCTCTGTGAGTGGTGGCGCGTTCTGTATTACAGGACAGAGCCGGAAAGCGTAGACTGTGAGTACCGTGTAGGTGCTCAAAGTGCTCAAATGGCAGCTCTCCTCAGCAATCAGTAAATCCTCTGCCTTGTACAAATACAGCGTAAATTTATGTAGCAGCGGTTCCCGCGACCCGAGCTGGACGACCCTTTGGTGGGCCTTCTCACTGTTCACGCCCAACATCTCCCATACACACCAGCAGCGGGGGCAAAGAATACAGCGGTTCCAAGAAACAACCATAACATGGCACAAGAATGGGCACCGCAGCCACGCAGGCGGTGCAAAGCAGAAGATCAGGCATTTTTTTTTTTCTCCGTTTGCGTACAGCAAGTACAGGTATGCATTGCTTTTGCCTTCAATTTGTGACGCGAGAGAAGGGTTCAGCGGTCCCTCTTCTCAGTATGCGCTCTCCACTACTTAGTTGAAAGCTCAACACTCCAGAGGTGGTAATCAATACCTTGACCTATGCACATGTGAATGCACAGCACTAGCGGGGGTTGACCCAACCGAACCAACCGCTGATGATGTGGGAACCGGCCTGGAACCGGCACCGGCTTGTTTCGGGTACGTTGTGCAAGGCGTGTGGTGCTTTCTCAAACCACGCGGAAACGACTACGATCAAACCACACCTCAACCGCTTCTGCCTGCACCCACCGTGAGTACTCTGAGCCATTGAAGGTCCTCCTCATCTCCTCATGCCTCATTTAATGTTGTCACCATGCACGCGGCGAAATAGACCCCTCGGGTCCTCGGGCCGCGCCTCCCCCAGCAGCAACGAGGGATGCCGTAGTCTAAAGAACTTGCGCAGAATGTTCTTAGAAAGTGTGGACTGAGGTTTAACCACTTCACCCTTCGGCTGTACCCAGGAGGGTAAGCTTAGAGGCGGGAAGCAAGCACCACGGCCTCGGGCATTGTTATGTATCGGTTGGACAGCATCTTGATCTCCTGACGTCCCAACTGGTCGAAACACCTGTCTTCCTGTCTTGTCCGTCTGTCTAGTTTACATAGAAAAAAAAAATATGTTCATCCCGCTGAGGGCGGGGTGTATACCGTGTACGACACAAGATAACACACCCCCTGGACCAATTTTCAAAGCTCGATTGCGCCACGACGAAGATCATGCATAAACGAAACGGTACATTTTCGGAAAGCCCTCGACAAGGCGGCTTCAACGTTGCCGTTTTCGGCGCTGTGACTCGCTCTGCGGTCGAGAAATCGAGCTTTGAAAATCGGTTCAGGGGGTGTGTTATCTTGTGTCGTATTTCGGTACCGGTAGTGTGGATGTGTGGATCCAGGATTTTTTTCGTTTGTCTTGGCGTGTACACCCTTGCGCCACCTGCTTGTCCTTGTTCTCGCAAAGTGGCAGTGAGTTGGGGAAGGGAAAATATTACCTTGTTGTTTTTTCAAGCATCTCCAGTTCTCCGCGAACGGTGTACCATCACTCGTAATGTCCTATTTACAGCAGAGTAGTGATGTTGTCACAGTATACAGTATCGGTAATGCTACACGGGGGTGCCAACAACACTGCACTATAAAGGTCTCGTGTGTCATGGTTCATATTTGGACACATTGTGAGACGCCCCATGATACCCCACGGCGCATCTCATGGGCCATATCACATGTCACGTCCTATGAACCACTCCACGGAGCCCCACGGCGGTCGGTCATGGGGTGGCCCATGGGACGTCTCATGTCGTGGGACGTTCCCTGGCATGCCCCATGAGACTTCCTCTGTGGGTCACCACGGCATACCATGACACCCCCCCCCCTATAGTACACCATCCTTGGCACACCATGAGACTCCATGATGACACCTCAAGGCACCCAATGGCACCCGATGGTATACCATGAGACTCCATATGACACCTCATGGCATCACCCATTGCACCCCATGACCCCATAGCACACCATGCACACCATGGCACCTCGTGCAAAACTCATATTCTGCAGCAAGTAGAGTTTCGTGCCCGGGTCCCTTCGATGGCCTTCCTAAGGCACTGCGTGCGATAACATGGTACGACAGAAGGCCAGGTTCGCTCTCAACGCAGATGCACCAAAATGTTACCAGTTTCCCCCACTGAGATTGGAAATAAAACACGAAACACTAACGATAAAATGGAGTTTTCATTTTTCTTTTCGCTCGCTCTCGGTGGTGGTGGTGGCGGCAAAAGATGAGGCAGCGCCAGATGACAACAGCTTGTTGTGGCTTTGGACGACAGCAGCTAATCTAGCCGACTCGGCAATGATGTGCTTGGGCCGCACTACAGGTAGTTATGCAAAAAAAGAGGTCACACGAAATAATCAAGGCACGGCAACGGTTTTCAGGATGATGGTGGTCGCGGGACAGGCCCCATGGTTTTCGTTTCAAGTCAAGCCACGGATACCTCAACGGAATTGACCCGTCGCCCCCTTACGGCGGGACTCCGGAGTTCCGTTTATAAAAGCCTCTGGGGAGTTGTCCGTGGAAGGATTTTTTTCGTTCAACGCATACCACAACAAATCATGTGGCCTTCAACCAGTATGCCCGCGGCTGATACTCCAAACGCGACGATACTCACACATATAGAGCAAGTCCCCAACACAAACTAACGAACCTCGTCTCGATGACCTTCGACCATGAACCTGATTTTTGCGGAAAACCTGGCTGTTTCAACCTTCACGGAGCTGCACGTAGCAACACCGAACACACATCGCACACACGACTATCAGCGTTCCCTCAGCAGCCCGACCACAACACTTAGATGGCACTACAACGCACGCACCCGGACAACAAGCACATCACGGCTTCAATCCCAGCCTAGACATGGCCTCTCGAAGGTCCTTCTTGAGATCTGGCTTGTCCTTGCGCTCGCAGGCACTCACGAGCGACCGGAAGCTGACACCGTTGGGAACGATGCCGGCGCGGCCCATCTCGGCCAGGAGAGAGATCCCTCCATCGATGTCGTCCGCTAGGGCACAGGCTTCTATTGCACCGTTGAAGCATTGCACTGCGGTGTTGTCGCGTGGCATTCCGAGCGGAAAGGAGGTAGAGGGGTAGAAGGAGGGCCGGTGGAGTGGGGTTCGGGGATGCAGGGCACGTGGTAAGCCGAGAAGCACAACGAACAAACACAGCACAACACATGCTGCGAGTATATCATCTGACATGCACGACCTTGGTACATGAGGCCCAGATGCACGATGAATGGAGAAACATGTGTTGAATCGATGGCCTAATCTGCGAAACCGTCCAGTCTGTGCTGACCGACATGTGAACGGCTCATTGCAGAAGGCACAAACAAGCCCCATGAAAAAGACCGCTCGCGGACCCGTTCCTACTCAAGCCCGCCGTTTATTGCACTCACGATTTGGCGGTGGCCCTTTCTCCCTGATGTCATCCATGAGGACAAGCGCTTTATCCGGCCTGCCCCCCCTCCCGAATGCCACTAAAGCGTGTGATCGGCCGACGTCGTCCAGTTCCACTCCCTGACTCCTCATCATCTCCAGCAAGATCTCCGCGATCTCCGCCTCCCCACGTCCGCACGCCGCGAGGGCGGCGGCGTAGATCTTCTTCGTCGCCGGAATCCCGTCGATCTTCATCGACTCAATTAGCCTCAGGGCCATGCGCCAATCGTGAAACCTCCCGCAGGCCGCCGAGAGGGTGGTGTACGAATACAAGTCCGGCGCCGCGCCGTCCTTGCGCATGCCCTTGATCAGCCCCTCGGCCAGCCTGAGCTCTCCGGCCCTGCAAGCGGCGACGAGCAGGGTGTAGTAGCAGGCGTCGTTCGGCTTGAGCCCCGCCGCGTTCATTTCCTCGAGCAGGCGCCCGGCCGCGTCCCAGTCGCGCGTCTGGGCGCACCCGTGCATCATGGCGGAGAAGGTGGTCTCGTCGCATGGCATGCTTTGCTTCATCTCGTCCATCAAGGTCATAGCCGCTGCAGGGACAATAGAGGCAGGCCGAGGGCACAGATGCAAAGAGTAGCGTTAAGAGAAGACGTGACGAATTGAGCGGCGGCCGCTGACGTGACAGTTTCTCTTGTGACTAGGTGGCAGCACACCGCAAAAAGACCGGCGGAACGCTATGTACCTACAGCCGTGCTGAGAATGTTGGTGAGGTGGGCGTGTAGGCGGCCGGGTCAGTGGAAACCACTAACGCGAGGAACGTGCACCACGCCACGCAGATCCAGATCCAGATCTACCACTTGCAGAAGAAGAAGGGCCCGCGGACGACGAAAATCCAGCAGCCTCGCATGGCGCAGATTGCGGAATATATCACCCCCCCCCTGGACCGAATATCAAAGCTCCATCACCATGCAGATAAACCACCAGTGATGGTACCGAGAAACCATGGCGGCGTTGGAATTGTCGTCGTCGAGAGCGTTCCGAAAACGGAACACTGCATCTCGGTATCCTCTTCGTCGTGTAGTAATCGAGGTTCGAAGATTGGTCCAGGGAGTGTGGTGTCTTACGCAAGCGACGGTATCGCCACGCCGGGCTACCTACCTCGCTAGCACCATGTTTCAGGGAGCGTACGTTTGGACATTATTACCTGTTGTGTTTCCTGTTCTTGAGTGCACGCTGATGATAGAGTTCCAGCAGAAGCGGGTCGGGGTTAGCCCCAGGTCCTTCATCTCCTCCAGCAACGCTCTGGCCAGGTCAGGGTTACGCCCCTGCCTCGCAAATCAGAGAGAGCAAAGCACAAACACAACAAAACGTGGTGAAGAGCAGAACAACATGGACTCTTCTGAGGGCGCGGCTTAGGGGCAGGGCGAAATCTGGGCGGGAGCTATTTCCGGAATGCCAACACTCCAAGCGATCGCGTTAAACGGCAAAGCTCGTTCCAAACAGTACATCGACACCGCGGAGAGTCCACCCAGCAGACCAGTCCACCGGCCAACCGATCTCCACCTTTGCACAGGCCCCAACAGCGGCCCCGTACGTGTAGGCATCCGCCGCTATCCCCTCCGCCTTCATGCTCTTCAGGAGTTCCAGCGCGCCCGCCCAGTCCCCCTCCCTCCCCACCGTCTCGATGACAAGGTTGTAGTCGGCGTCCCTCGGTTCCAGCCCTTGCTGTTCCATGTCTCTCAAGAGCATCACGGCGCTCGCGCCGTCCCCTCCCGCCCGGCACGCCAAGATCGCCGACTGGTAAGAGATGGCGTCCGGCTCTAAGCCCTGCGATTTCATCCGCTTCAGCAGGGCCAGGGCGGCCTCGGGATTGGAGCCCTTCGTGCAGGCGTCCAAGGCGGCGTTGAAGGACTGGATGTCGGCCTTGAGCCCCGCCGCCTTTATCTCGCTGAAGAGCCACAGGGTCAGCGCCCAGTCCCCCGCCTTGGCGCAGGCGTTGATCACAGAGTTGAACCTAGCGATTGGTTGGCAGAAGGGATGTTAGCGTGGAGATAGAGGTCACTAATGGACAAAGAGGAAAGCAAAAAAAGCAAGTTTGGGGCATGAGGTGGACACCGTGTGGCAACTAAAGGGATGTTGGCATGGAGAGAGACGCACACGCATCGAGAGCTTAAAGGACAAATGGCAGAACCAACAAAGCCCGTTCGGGGCAAGGGGCGGACCTCGTGCTGTGAGTATAGGCTTGGATGTATCTGTTCGCCGTGTGCTTCTTTGAGGTTGCGTGGGAATGGCAAACCCGACTCACACGCGTACCGCTCAGCGGGGATCACGCCAACGAAACTACCGCTGAATGTTGGACGATTTTGCCGCAGGCAGCCAAGGCCACACACTCAATAGCACCAGCCGGCACACAACGATTCCTTCGAGCAACAGGCCAAAACAAGGGGCATCAGCGGCCACAACAGAAACCAGGCGCAAGCACAAGCAGAAAGACCTTTCCCCGGTGTCGGTGCTATGCTCACGTTACGAGGTCTGGCGTGAGTGCAGGGTCCCCGGACGTCTGCATCTGTTCGAGAAGAGCCAAGGCTCTGTCCACCTCCCCCGTCTTCGCGCACACGTCTACGCAGGCGTTGTAGTTGATGAGGTTAGGCGACAGCCCGTTGCGACGGGCTCTTTCCAGCTGTGCCTGCAAGGACACCGCCAGCGGCACCGTCCGTCGTTTTTCGGGACATTTGGGAGGGAGGCTCAGCATACCGCTCGGACGTCGATAGATGTGGGGACAATTTGTACCCGGGGTCACATAAGAAAGGTTACTATATGCCGCGGTGGATGGGTGCCTGCGTTGTGTGCACGTGATTGCTCCCGCGGCAGCATGCTATGCTACCCGGGTGCCGCCCTCCAGGCACGAAACGCGAAGCAGCCCACACAGCAAGCAGTACACACATAAAAAGTTGGGTTCCCATTCTACAGCTTGGCGTAGGCGAGCAATGCATGATCGCGCGTTGCATGCTATTACAGCAGTCGTTTTTGTGATTCTCACCAGGGCTTGGTGGACGTCTCCCGACCTGCCGCAGATGCTGATGAGCTCGGTGTAGGTAACCTCGTTGGGCTTGATAGCGCGGGACTTCATCATCGACAGGATCTCTTCCGCCTTGTCCCAGTCGTTGCAAGCCCTGAAGAAAGGCGGTATTTGACAACAGCAGCAACATGTTGTGCGCACGGCAAACCCGTCAGCATAGAGCACCCGTTCGCTCGAAAACGACACAGCAGTAGGACTGCGTGCACGGGCCATGCGTGAAAAAACAACGAAGTAGAATCAGATTGCCCTACATATTATCAGCCGTCGCAAGAGTCATTGCTCAGACGTGAGTAGATCAAAAATTGTGCAGAACCGCCGCCACCAGGTACGCAGAGCGACAGAATCTGAACCAAACACGTGGGCCAAAATGGCGATGGGTCATCGTCTTCGCGCGTCGGATCAAACAGTACAACGATGTCCAGGTAGAGACTTGACCGCCGACAGCTAAGCAACCCACTTTAGGGCCGAAGAAAACGTGACGACCGTCGGGTCGACCCCTTCCGAGGACATCTGCTCCAGCAGGGACAGCACCACGTCAAACTTTCCGGCGCTAGCGCAGGCCTCGAACGGCCGTGGTGAAGGTCACGATGTTCGGGGAGAGGCCTTGCGATCGGGCCTCCGCCAGGAGTTCCAGCGCCTGGGAGGGGGGAGGGGGGGGGGGGGGGGGTTGCACAAGTAGGAGACACGCACGTATTCGGATTGGTTATGTAGCCAATCATAAGTACACAATTTGGAGCGCCTGGGGAGGGGGAAGGGTATGATGGAAGCAGTTAAAGAGGGGGGTGCCTGCGCAACCTGGGCAACGTCTAGAACTGAGGGTCACAATAGGCCAAGTGTTACTGATGCTTTGCGGTGTGGAGGTGATACGTCGGGGAACCCATATTCTCTCGGCATCGTTGAATCCAAATAATTTGATTTCGTTGTCGGTTGCTCGGCCCCTCTTGTGCAAATAAAGCTGACAAATAAAAACAAACACCCGTGACACAGGCGTTTGCAAGTCTATTTCTTGGGGTAGTATACTAGAGCAACTTTCGACTCAGGACTACACGTATATGTAGGGTTGACCGGGTAGTGGTTTCGTCGCACCTTTTCCCACAGTCCCGCCTTCGCGTAGGCGTCCATACAAATCCCGTACGACACCAGGTTCGCAGCAAGACCACACGCTTGGATGCGGCTCAAGACCCTGTGAGCAAGCTGCGTAGATACGCCAGGGGGCCGAAAGTTGGGAGAGGGGCGGGGGGGGGGCGGGGTCGTCTTTTCCAGGGCGTAGCCAAAGGTACTGGACGGGGCGCATCAAAACGTCTGCATCCTCATCGCCACAATCAAGAAGAGAGGGTGTGTCCCAGCTGACTCGTACCGACGCTGCATCAACATGTATGCGTGCTTTTCACGCTTGTCCGTGCCCCGAATGATGCATAATGCCTTCAAACCCTCGACTCGTCCCAAGCAGCTGCCCACGAGTCATACTACAATACCACCACGCCAAACCACAAGTCAAAGCGCTGAACACAAACAAAAAAAATATTTTGGACATGTACGCTGATAGGCGTTGAAACAGACTCAACTACATGTTTGTCCAGTATCCATTGTAGGTGTCCCTCAATTCTCGCAGGACATGATTCACGGCGACCCGTCAAACGGGGTATTTCATGTCTCGAACGGGTAGTCTCTCGTTTGATGTCATGCGTGTCTTCTCAGCACCAGGGGGCGCTTTCTGTAAAAGCTTAAGGCCACGACTCTCTCCCTTAGGAGAGCGTCTACCTGACAGCAGCAGGTCAGGCCTCTACATCCCTGCCTGGCCTACACTCTCGAGTCCTACCTCGCACTCTCCCGCTTTCGCGCAGGCAGTCATGGCATAGTTGAAGCAGACCACGTCGGGCCCGGCGTCCTTGTCGGTGACGCTGGCCCTGGTCATGACGTCTATCAGGGCGATCGCGTTCCGCCAATCTCCGACCTGGGCTGCTGATTTCAGGGCAGGGCTGTAGCTCGCTGACGTCAAGCGTGTCCCATTTTCCTTCACAAGGACAAGGTTTAGGGTCAAACACGCCGACAGCGAGATGGGCAAATCGAAAGGGAAAGGGAGAGACAAGGAGGGGGACAGGTACGGAGAGAAAACAAATCAATGGGATAATACAGAGGGCGACCACGGTTGGGAAAGGATTCAAAAAAGAAGCCCGGTGAACCTCATCTCTCATCTCTACGATCCGCGTCGATGAAGCGTGTAGGCAATAAGTACAGCAGTCACACAGTCTCCACCCCGCCCCGTTTATGCGCGCAATACAAACGACCAGCCGTCGTGCTACACGACAAGGCGCTACACTTCACTTCGCGCCGCCGTTCCTGGCCCAACCAACCACCTCGCACGATATTCTTGCTGTTTCTAGGCGGACATTTGCGCCAGCAGCGAGCACCAGAAAACCCCTAGTTTTCGATGACACATGATCACTTCAGCCAGTCTTGCGGGGGAGGAAGGGAGGTGATCGAACCCACCCGCATCTTGGCGAGGAGGTCCATGGCAGCCCTGTGCCCTTCCGAGGCCGCCAGTACGGTGAGCGCCGCCTGGTGCGCCGGAGGGTATGGTTCTAATCCCGCCGCTTCCATCTCTTCCAACAGTAACACGGCCTGAGAGGGGAAGGTGGGGGTCAGCAGCACGGGGTAGTAGGGAGTCTGAAAGGAGCGACGACAAAGAGAGAAGGGAAATTTCAACCATTTTTGGGGCAGCCATGAGCTGCACAACCAACCTACTTGCTGATCCGCGATTCAGCGCCGTAAGGAAACACGAGAACGGAAGTTGCACTGTTAGGGCACACGACTGCATGACCACATTCGTCGATCTCTCCGGACCAATCAGCACCAAGAACAAAAGACGAGCGACCCGCTACGCGTAGCCGAAATACGACATATGTTAGTATGGGCTGCGAAACCTATACGTCTTGATGGGTCGTAGTCTACAGGTGTGCGCCATGCAAGCAATGTACCTTTCGAGCATTGGCTTTGACGTTCGTGGTGGCCTTAGCGCAGGCACCGATGGCCGTGGCGTACGTCACTTCCGTCGGCTTAACACCCTTGGACTGTTTCGAAAGGAAGGGGGCGGGGGGAAAGGGTAAGGCGATAGTACTGCGGGGGGTGGGGACAGGTTTTGCTCCGGATGCATACGTTTGACAACAAACTACAGAACGCGCCACAGTTAAAGAACCTCTACAGTAGTTTCGGCCGAGGCTGGGGTTCGTTCTTAGTTCCTAGGGTCATGCTACGAATGGTAGTATAAGTGTAAAGGTTCTTGACCGAGCTCACAAATTGTGCTCAAGTTGAATATAATGATTTATTGTAGGCTCAATTTCTTACATGGGAGCAAGCTCCAAAGCCTATCGCCATCACGACGTCGCACATCAAGCACAGCCTCCGGTCCTTGCCTACAACACCACCGGCTATCGAAAATGGTCACGGCAATCGCGGTAGTAGTGGCTAGCACAACCGGACCATTCAGTGACACATATCGTCACCCATTTCGTGTTTCTCCTCTTGCTAATGATTGATTGAGTTGATTGAGGCACCTTGGCCTCCTCCAGAAGCTCAAGCGCCTTGCCCGGCTCCCCAGTGACGCTCGCGGCGTGCATGGCTGCGTTCCACCCGACGACAGGCATCTACAAAACCACGCATAACACGCAGATACACATGTAGAGAAGAGGGGGAGAGGGTGCAAGAGAGCGGGGGGGAGAGGGAGGGAGAGGGAGGGAGAGGGAGAGAGAGGGAGTGAGAGGTACAGAGGGTGAAAGAGAGCGAAAGACAGGGGCATACACATGTACAGGGTTCCCTAGGGGGGAGTGGGTCCCAGCCCACATCACACTGAACAGCCTGCGGGTGGTCCAAGATGTTACCCTGTGTTGTTTCCCACTTGCAAGAACGAACACTGCTGCTGCTACATCAACGCGAAAGCAACAGTTCGGTCGGCACAAATGCAAGGCCCAAAAGCAAGGCCCAAAAGCTAAGCTCTACCAAGTCCTCCCATATACCTAAATAGAAGAGGGAGAGAGAAAAGAGACAGCATCAGCGAGGAAAAGAGGGTGCACCCGACGCCGACCAAGAGACAGAAACGCCAATTCATCTTCCTTCGTCGCCGCGAAGAGGCACGCAGCGACACCACGGACATCCTCGCGAACGGTCGGCGCTGCCCCAACCTACACTTTCCCACGACAGCGTACACAGGTGACACCGTCTCGCGCCGGAAGAAACGGCACGCTGCCAAACACAGTTACCCCCCCAGCCGCAGGAATCATACACCACCCGCAACATCGCCCTAAGGCTGGGCGTCGTATCGAACCGTCAGGGAACAAGTTCGGGCAACGGGTGGGAGGCGCGACGCCGCACCAACAACGCCCAACTCACCACGATCCCTCGCTCCGAAAAAGACAAGGCGGAGTCGAGAGCCTCCTTGGCCTTGCCGCACCTCTTGTACGCCACCACCGCCCAGGCGTAGCTCTGGCGCTTGAGCCTCAACCCTCTCTCTTCCGCCTGCCGGAAGAGCGCCAGCAGCTTCTCGTCTTTCCCCTTAGCCTGACGATTTTCGGGAATGCACGGACGCAATCAATCATGCGAAAATGGGCGGGAAGGGTTCTAAAAGCCAGAGAAGATGGTGAAAACTTTCATAGAATTGACACGTTCTTTCTGTAAAAGTGGTCCTTTCTCAGGGGCGGGCGGAGGCTCCGCTATTGCAAGCACTCGAAAAAACGCTGTGCACGCGCATGTTTCGACTATAGTATAGCCGCCGCGTGGGCATTCAAGCGTCAACATCGTTGTCATAGGTTTCCTGTGACGTGACCACCGCCCAAGAGGCCAAAACTATTGAGCCTTTGAGTTGCACCACCGCACCACCGTGTTACATCACTTTTGCGGCTGGCCAACGACCCAATATAGTATGTAGTCCCAACGGGCACCGACGTCACACACACAATAACATCACAAAACACCCTACGGTGCACGCTTACCTTTCCCAGGGCCGTGAGGACAGCATCCGTTGTGGCTGCATCCACCTCTACCCCCGCCTGCTGTGCCTCTTCCATCAAAGACAGCGCCGCCGACAACGTCTTCCTCGGTGGAGATCCCTGGTGTGCCGCCCATAGGGTAACATTCAGGCCACCGGGGGTATTTGGGGAAAACAAAGCGTGACAGCGCCGGGGCCCTCCGTGTCAAGCAAGCAAGACGGCCAGTGAATGCTTGAAACCATTGGGGGCACTGCGGCGAAAGATGGAGGGGGGTACAGAAAAGTGTGTCATTGCGCCCCCGGCCTCGAGCTCGGGCACGCAGGCAGAGACTCTATTGAGACACTGACTAAGGGCCCAAGGTTTGTTGGAGCGATAATACATCCTGGAGGAGATACCTCAATAATAGCGATATAATGCTACGGTCCAATACCGTCGAAGACTCTTGCACACGAGAGACTCACGTCTGGTCGTTGCACTCTTTCCTTTGGCTCTATGTCTCATCGACAAGGCCAATCGAAGGATATCCTGTTTTTTCTGATAGCGAAACGGTGCCCTCCAGGTTCTTGTTGATCCTACCGTCCATGCAGCCTATCAGCTAGCGCTGAAGCAGCAGCCAAACACCCTCGGAAAAATCGAAAAAATGACGTACCTGCGCAACCGTGGTGACGGTTTTGCACCAAACATCGGTGCTCAAAAGCTCGCTCGAGACTTCCGCCGAAGCTTCTACCTCAGCCACGCCTACCCCTTCCCCCTCGACAACGCAACCACCAACCCTCCTTGGCGTCGTCTCTGCCGACGAAGACTGCATCGCCCGGAAGACGTCTAACGCTGCACCCTGCCCGGTTGGGTGCCATGCCATGCGTTAAACGACGAATAACGAGTCGGTGGCACATACAAGATGGAGGGGTGGGCCATCAAGAGTAAATGGTGGTGTGTTTCCGGAAAAAAAACGTTGGATGGTTCGGTAACTACTGTCTCGAGAAGCAAGTTGAAGTGTCACATTCGAATCCAGCTCGGAAAACGATACGCCCCGGCGCGAAAGATGCGTCGTGGGCCACGTGAACGATGTTGGTCGGTAATCCCATTCAGAGCTAATGCATCATTCCAAGTCGTGAACTGATAGAGGTGGTGGGTGGAGCCCTCTTTCCCGGTCACCGATGCCACTCCAAGCAAACACGCCAACACACACATCGACCACCGGTTCAACGTGTTTTTTTCCTCCTCTCGAAGTTGAGGCACGGATCACACAAAACACACAAACAAGCCACACGACACAAGGCTCTCCAGGCACGAAGGCGAGGGTCTGTTAATGAATTTCCACCTTACCCAGTGCCGCCCTCGGCTCTTGACGAAGGCCTTGAACGCCAGGGAGTAAGTATCGGCATCTGGATAGCGGAGTAAAGTTTTTTGCGGCACACGGCAAGGGCGTCGAAGGCAAACAGCGGTATCACTAAGGCCAAGCACGTGTACAAGAAGTAAACGCACATCAGGGGGAAACGCCATGGGGAATACATCTGGTGAGGAATCATTTTTGCTTCGTGCCTTCGTTCCGCCAAGTTAACATTTTTCTCGGCACTCACCCCCCTTGGCCTATTCTCTCTCTGATGTCGTTTTCTCACACCATGTATCTGTGGGCCAAAGTCGGGCACGTACGTTAGTGCCGAGGTCATTGAATGTGTGACCTGCCACTACATCAACTCATGCTTGCGTAGCATTCAGCGAGAGCTGGTAACCCATGTGCCCTTACAGTAGGCGAACAAGATTGAGATTCGACTTCCAACAACGACGGGATTGTTGATATTTTCGTTGCACTCACCTGCAGGGTGCCCATTCCGACCCATGTCCTCGATGGTAGCCAGCACCGCTTTTGCGTCTCCTAGCTGCGCGTGCGCCGACACTAGCCAATTGTAGCTTACACCAAAGGCAACCAGCAAAGAGGGCGAGCCGACGAGAGAGAGAGAGAGAGAGAGAGAGAGAGAGAGAGAGAGAGAGAGAGAGAGATAGCGATGATCAGGAGGCTGGGCGACGTCTCCAACGAGTCGACATCCAAACACGTTCGTTCGTGAGGAGTCGAACCACCAACTCCAAGAAGCTTGAGCACACCGGGCAGAGTAGCAACAGCAGCGCTAGATACAACATGTCGGCGACACACGAACGCACGCACATGGCGAAGGCCGGATGCGCCATCGCCCTCCCGAAGCACGAATACGGCGACCACAAAAAAGTGCAACGAAGAGGACGCATAGACAAAAAACAAGGTGTGTGTGATCCCGTCCCATTCATTCCGGCACCAGTCTACACACCCTCCGGCGCATGTATTTAACGCATCAGCCGGGGTCACACACGCGAGTACCACAAACTACAACCAAAATTACGCCACGATAGGCGCCGGTTCAACGAACTGTACGGGATTTTCCCACACCTAAGTCGGTCCAGATCAGGGAGGGCCCCTCCACCGGCCGTCGACTTGGTTCCCAGGAGACCAATGATACCCTTCCAGTCCCCTAGCGAGCCCATGGCCCTTGCGACCCTGCTGACCTCTGCGGCAGCAACGTCTGTCACGACTCTCCCCTTGCCGACGAACAGTTCCCACACGCCGACAACCTGCGATAACAGGCGCGGGATAACATGAGGGGACCAGCCAGAGCCTCGAATCGGTTGTTCTCCTCGACATCCCCGAGATGACACCAGCAAACAAAAGATATGAGAAACGTTGCCGTACGGGAAACGAGCCGTACGGGAAATCGGCGTGGCCGGCATGCTGGGCAAACCTCACACACGCTGGCGCCGCCTTGCCTCACAACAGCCAATACCTGCGTCGGATCGTTGGCCATCGCGCACGCCTTCATCGCTTTCCGGTACGTGGCGTCATCGACGTCCAGCCCTTGGGCTCTCATCGCTAGCAACACCTTCGTCACCTGTGCGCCCGCAACAACAGCAACAGCAACAGCAACAGCAACACCAGCAGCAACGAGCCGGAGGACGGAGTGGGGCGACACTTGAAAAACGGTGTTGCTAACAAAAACACGATGGCCGCGATTTCCGACCCCGACCGAAGGGAGCCGTTGTTGGATGTGCTTCGCTGGTACTACGGCAGGGGCCGCATCAAGCGGCAATATTTTCCAAGAAAGCGACGGGTCTCATTCGTGGGAACCAAGCGTCGACGAATATGCCGATCAACGATGTGATTCACATGGGAAGATGGAAGGACTAGGGGGTGAACACCGTTGTGTTTCGCCGGCTAACCGACCACTCAATCTCACTCATTCCCAACTGCTCGACGATGGCGCGCAGCGCTTGGCATTGGCGGTACTGTAGCAGGTCGATCTCCTCATACCTTGACTCACGCACCAGCACGTGGCAATACCGACAGAGTGGACAACAACATCTGCAAACAAATGACGACCACCAACAGGAGCTCAGCAGCGTGATCCCGGGCCGCACTCACTTTTCGCGTGTTTTTGCGCGTGGTGCACGTGTCCAGCACGGTGTTGACCACCCCCTGGGGAGGTTTGTAGCCCTTGGAGATCATGGCGTCCAGCATGCGTGTTGCCTCCTCTATCCGCCCACTCTGAAGCGTTCAAGGATGCGTCGGGCAGCACGGGATGGTTTGACGAGGAAATAGACTGCTGAAACGCCTGGTACAGGAAAAGCTTGCCGTACGCCTAAGGTGCACCCTTTCACGCGCACAGCACTCACTTTTATGGGAAATCTGTCCTGTTCCTTGACCAGCATCTACTACCTCTCGCATTCCATCCCTGCACGCATAGCTTGCGGATTTGTCGTATTGCCCTCGTCGGTGTGTGCAAATAGTGCTTCGTACTCCAAAAACGCTCTAAAGCTCCCAACCGAACTACACCAATAACACATCAAAATATTCTGTGCTGGAGCTTTAGTGGTAGCCTCCAATGAACTCCCTGTGCTACAGCAGCGACACTTCAAAAAAATTCTGGCCGGCGCTCAAGTGGTAGCCTCCGATGAACCCCTTCCGTGGTTCATCGCCGTATGTACCGCTACGAGATACGAACTCGTTCATTTCATTTCACCTATCCCGTCGGTTGTTGCCGACACCGCGAAATCGCTCGCCCGCCCCTGAGTGTGGGCGAAAATTGCTCTGCTTCGCATACGCTGCCGGTAGTCTCCTATGCCAGCACAGCACAAAATCAATCTTGATATTTTCTACCCCAACAAAGCAGCAAAGCACAGATTTCCTAGATACCACGCAACCCCTAGAGAGAGCCACCAATCGTTAACCCCCACCTTGCAGCAGTCTCTGATCACTCCGCTGTAGGTATCCTCGCCCGGTACCATTCCTGCCTCCTCGACTTCGCTCATCAACCCCACGGCCTCCGCCCACTTTCTACCTGCTCCCAAGGCCTGTATCGCTCTCTCAAACGCACCCAAGCTCTGCACGAAGGTCGGAGGGGGGGGCGGGGGGCGCACGTGGAGAACGCATTCATGCGTATGCGGCTGGGCATTGTTTGTCACGGCGTGCCTCTAAGTTGAATGGTAGGTTGATTGTATCCAGAGCTACAATCAGAAGACGAACAGCATCGTGGAGATCCCCCGCAACAACAATTACTGGGTTAGAGGTACATCTAGGAAACGAGATGCGCAGAGTAAGGTAACCTTTCCAACCGTGGTGCTGCCGACTGCTTCGACTTTCTTGATCTACATCAGCTATTCCGTTGTGGGTGTGTGACCGCATGCAAGAAGTCTACAGGGCGGGAGAGAGAGAGAGAGAGAGAGAGAGAGAGAGAGAGAGAGAGAGAGAGAGAGAGAGAGCAACTTCGTGTCTTCCTCATTCCCGTGGCGATTCATCCTGTGGCTCTGCTGATGCATGTATACAGCATAAACAATGGGTTGCGGGGCAGGTGAAAAGCTGATGATCAATAGGGTTTGTACGGGGGTTGTGCACAAAGCAGCAACTCACCGGTGTCTGCCCTCCGCCCCTTTCCTTTTCCAGCTGTTCTATCGCCTCTGTCCATTCCCCCCCCCCGCCCCGCTTCTCCACTGGACTAGCTCTTGCGACAGCAGCGCCGGTGCTTCCAGCAGCAGCAGCAGCAACCGCCGTCCGCTCCGCTGCTCGTGCAAGCGCTTCTTCAACCGCCAGCGCCTCCGACGACTGCCCGAGCTCGGCGCTAGGTGCACCCGATGACAGGCGAGAAGGAAGCCGACATCCCGAACGTTGTCCTTGCAATGCCAATAGGTGCAGCAGCCGCAGCCTCGGCACTGGAGATGGTGCTACTGCTGGAGGAACGGAGGCCGGACTGCTGCCATGATGTCGTCGTCCAGTGCCAGCATGTCGAGTACTGGTACTGGTACTGCTGTGGTGCACCCATCCTAGCGCGCGCTCCGGGTTGTCAGCGAGGAGGACGGTCGAGAGAAGCAGCGCCGACGCGTTGAGCCTGCCTTCTTTTCGGCGTTGGTGTTGCTTTCGCCGGCAGCTGTGGTGCGGTCGTGCTGTATGGGTTGATGGTGGTGATGACGAGAGGTCGTTCATGATCGGGCTGCTCCCAGGTCAGGTCGACAGCAGTAGGAGCAGAGCGGCTGGTGGGTCCTTCAACATCAAATAGCGTCGAGAAGGCACTACTGTACGCAGTAGTCGGACCTATGCGTGAAAAGGAGAGAGACAACTTCACAAAACTCTCTCTCCCCTTTCTAGACCGAGCACGGTACACGGCGATGTGTTGGTTACATGCGAGGAGCGTGCTTGTCTCGCAAGCGCGCACCACACGGCACTGTCCGTCTCAGCCCCTTTATCGACAACGCTTCGCAGGTCTGTGAACGCCCACATTTCCGACGTCCGGCCGTTTTGACCTCATCCATCTTTCAGCAGGCGAGTACACATCGACTTTGCCCGAGGCCTCAAACATGCTGCTCGGTTGGTTCACCTTCGTATTGGTGGCGGTACCAACGTTGCTGTTGCATAGAGCAGCGGTGCACGCGTTCGTGTGCCCAACCGGGAGGTCGGCGTCGTTTCCTGCCAACAGCATGTGAGCCGAACCGCCTAAAACTGCCGCCCAATCGCATGCAGACTATTGGGGTTTGTTCGATGCATTTGCTATGTACCTGGTACCTGGTAGCAATTTTGCACCGCTGTTACTGCTATCGCTAGGCTGTTCTAGTGGCGAAGTGGACGAGCACCGAGTCGTGTTTGCTGTTCAGATGGTTTCCCATCTTGAAGCGTGCTGTTGCTGATGTTCACATCTTTACCGACAAGCCTCCGTGCTGGATGTTTCGCCCGAACCAACGAGTCCATGTAACGGTGCATTGGATTCCACCTCAACCATCATCGATACAGCAGTGGGGGCCCGTCAATAACACCGGCAATATTCAATGTACATAATGCCTTGGTGATTCAGTCTGTGCCCAGCAAAATCACCGGCGCCATGCAGGGGCACCTGGCGACTATCGGCATACATAAGGAGTACCACACCCATCCCCGCACCAATATATAGCAACCATCGCCATTTGACTGTACTTGCGTGCAATCGCATTGCCACTCCACCCCAGGGCGGCTGCGGGTAGGCGTTACAGCCCCCGCCGTGAGACAACATTAAGCCCACCGGGCGGTGAAAACGTTGCACCGCGGCAAGGCTCGTTGAGACCAACAACAACCGCCGTCCTTCGTTCAACGAGACGTGGCGCATCCGACGACGATCGGGCCTCAAACAGGAAGAAAACGCCGCCGCAAAGAGGTGAGAACCTACCGAACACCAGCAGCCCCACCAGCAATGGAGGGGTGACCCCCGCCGGAGCACAGCGGCCAGCCAGCCGGCCTCCTTCGCGCCTGGCTGCGACGGCAGCGAAGAGCGGATGCGAAGTTCTCGTCGGCATCACCGAGCCGGGCCCCGAGGACACCGACGTTAACGTGCTGGTTCCGGTGAAGGACGTGGTGCCGGTGCCGCTGGCGGACATCTCGCAAGCCGCGGCGGACTCCCTTGGCGGCGGGGATGCGACCCGCGTGTCGATGGAGAGGTTCTGCAAGACCCTGGAGAGCGTCTTCCGGACCGAGTTCTCGGTGAAGGTGGACAGGGCCAACGCCGACTTCGTTCTGGGGGGGGGGGCGCGACTGCACCACCGCCGGCCGTGGCAGTCGAGGTGCCGGCGGCGGCGAGCTACTACAAGCACCACAGCCGCAAGAGGGGCAGACTACGAAAGAAGGGGGCGCTAAGGGGGAAGGGAGTGCTGGCGACGACGAGACCCCGGGGACGGCGATGGCTACCACTAAGGGGGGTCCAAAGAACGCCGGCGACAGCGGGAGGAGCAAGCGCGGCAGATGGAGAGAAAGCCTGCGGCGAAAGAAGAAAATCGAGGCCGATGCTATCGGAGACGCGGGAGAGGCTCCTCCGGCCCCGGCAGCAGTAGTTGTCGCGGGTAAACGACGAGGAAAACGGAGCGGAGGGGGCAAGAAGCGTAACGGTCGCGGCGATGATAGCCGCCATATTGTCGACAGGGCTGATGAGACCGCGGCGGTGCCTCTGCTAGAGCTTGTGGACGAACTCGTGCGGAACGCCATGTTCAGTCCCATCGGCGCCCGAGATGTCATGATGTCGCAGGTGAACGTGGAAACCGATTTGGTAGTTCCATGCGTTCGGCGCTTGGGATGACTTCGTAGGTTGCCGCTCTCTCAGCAGGATCGGTTCTTGGTTCACTCTCGATAGTTTTCTCCGACCGGGCCTACATAGCATGTTGTGGACGAGGGCGATAACCTGGTCCCGCACCCCAATGCATTCCATCCATCTCAACGCCCTCGACCCTCTCCGTGGTGATGCTGTAGACGGTCACCACTCACCACAATGCTGTTAGTCAATACGGCAACACCGCCACGCAGTATCTCGGCATGCCCACCCGAACCACTTGCCCCTTGTTCGGCTTAAGACTGGTGCAGCACTCCCGCGTCAGTTGGGTGCTTCTTCTACGCTGAGAAGGACTCCTCCGACTCACGCATACTCCCCCATGCACGTTTTTCACCGGAACCCAGGCTCTTGCTGCGGAGTTCCCCACCGCCGCTGGTGTTCGGCCGGTCTTCGGTAGCTTGGCGAACGTGTACGAGCTGCTGCGCCGTCGGTGTCGTGATGTGGAGTGGGACGGGGCAGCGAACGATTCCCGAGGCGAGGACGCCGCTGCTGCGGCGAAGCGTATCAGGGACAGCGAACGCGCCATGCTGCCGTTCGAGGGGCGGCTGCTGGTCTTCTGGAGGGGTAATGGCGTTGAGGAGACGAGGGGAAGGCTTCTGCTCAAGAAGCTAGACTACTTGCAGGTGTGTTTGGGAGGTCATGCGTATGGTTGCGGTTGGTTATTTATTGGGAGCTCCTACAACATCCCCAGACGTAAAGCGAAACGACAATTCCCCTCCAAACACACCAAGGACGCTGCATAACTCCCTCAAGGGGGTACCCGGTACAAAGCCGAGTCTGAGTCTAAACGTTAATAAGAACTACACCGTGCGAAAACGTTAACATTCAAGGAGCGACGCGAAGCGTGAAGGGATACCTGGACAACGCAGAAGGACCCCAGGGATTAGCTGCTTGGGCGTGGCCTGATGCTGTGGGCACAACACGAACAGGCACTTAGATACAATCGATTACCTCGAAGCCTGTGTCACAGATAGACGCAGGATACCGTATCACGATTCAAAGAACTTTCGTTAAGCCAGACGACGTGCTTGTGCAAAGAAGAGTCTGGCGCCGATTTTTTCTATGGTGGCCTCACGGATAGGTTCACACTCCAATGTTGTCATTTGTTTTCTCTCCCCTTCCCTGCTTGGTCTCCTCCAGAGCAACGCCGTCGGATGGCTTTCGCAGTCCGTAACCGATAGCCTGAAGGCTGGCCAACAGCAAGTGGTCGGGGCCGTGGATACCGTGGCCAGGTATGCCGCTGTTTGGGGTGAGAAAGGGGAAATTGTCTGCCGTGTTGTTGTTGTTGTGTGTTGAAGTTGTCGTCTTGTTCGACGTTGTTGTTGGGGACGCAGCGTTGGTGTTAGTGTTGCTGTTGGTGCTGGTATTGCTATTTTACTGACTCGTTGTCCTTGGTTCACTCGCCTGCTCGTGATCAAGCTCGCTGTCAAGGCAGTGTAAACAAGAGACGCTAAATCCACCCAGGAAATACGACAGACATCTTGCTGCCTCTTTCGGGGCTGGGCCTACGTGAGCCCGCCTTCCCAGGGGACAACCACAAAGATCATGTACTCGTATGCATAAAACTCCGAACGCACCCTACCTTTTCTTTTCCCTACCGACAACGCTAGGGACCTCGCCAGACGAAAGGACAGCGTTGTCCGCAGCCTCGCGGAGGGGGCCATCGCGTTCGGCCTCGAGCGAGACTCTTTGACGCAGTTCCTCCCGGTATCAAACGTGACGGAGATGGCCTTGACGAAGGAGCAGGAGGCCCTAGATGAGGCGCTGGAGGCATTGCGGCGCAACTCCCGACGGTACGGCATGGATTGAGGAGTATGAGGTCGGGGAGGTGGTGGGGGAGATCAGAAAGTGGAGGGAAATGATTGCGGCCGCTTTGTCACCCTGCCACCTGTAGTGTTGTCTGTAGAATGGTTTACAGGTGGGGGCTTGATCGTTGCGACGCGCCGTGCAAAGAGGGAATTCGATGATTCATTTTGAACATATCTTGCTGATATTCGGCTTCTCTGTGTCTGTGTCTGCGTGATGTTATTCTCTCTCTCTCTCTCTCGCTGATGTCTTCGAGGCAGTTTTTGTCCTTTGCGGTACGGAGGGTTTTCGACGGGCCAGTGCCCCCGATCTCTTTCTTCTACCTGTCTCGGCCTGTCTCGGCCTGTCTCTGCCTGCCTCTTGTATGTTTTTCTTGTATTTGGACGAATACGCGGTTTAGAATTTAAAGCCTGCTGGTCCTGGGAGCTCGGCTACAACAAGATTTCATTCCCATTGCAGAGGAACATGATGGACTTTCGGTTGTTGGTCCAGGATGACAAGAGTCTGGCACGTACAATTTCGTTGCCAAGACCACCGCGGTGTCATTGAAGAACACACGTCTACTCGAACCGGTACCACCCCCCCCCCCCCCCCACCCCCGCACGCCTGGCTGTTCCCGCAACACCCCTCTTTGATGTTCATTTCCCGGTGCTCTTACCTAACATCCATCGAAACGGCAGGGGGCCCGTGAATCTTCAGCGCTACGGCATGCGCGAGGTTAACGTCAAGCTCGAAGAGTTCTCCGAGGGCGGGGCGTGGCCTCCAGGAGATGACTCGTGGTTTTGGGAGCCAGAGGTGCCCGCAGCAGCGGATACGACGGCGGCGGCGGGGCGAGAAAGCACGAAGGATGGCGTTTTGGATGAGGGTGCGGGGATAGATGATTCTCCTATCCCCGGAGAGTGAGTCTGAATCGTGTGGGCCACGCCGGACTGACGATGTGTCCTGGCAATGTTGTCAAGACTTCAATTTTCGGATTTTGTAAGTGGTTTGTGCATGGAGGTGCGTAACCATTCGGGGGAGCGTATGATCCACGCGCTTCAACTCGTTTTATTTCCCCCTGAAACGGATAAGTTCTTTGATTGCCGTAGAAGCGCTGTTTTACATTTGCCTGCTCATAGTCGCCCATGGAACGTCCATGGAACATCCCAGTTTTTGGAAACGGCGCCCGCCCCCGAAGCCTAAACCGGTGAGTGTTCCTCTCCCACGTTCTCCATCGCAGGGTCCCTTCCACCGTGCTCCCCAGGGTGACGCTGGCTTCCGTGCTAAGCCCTAGCAGGCTGAGCCCTTCCGGCAAGTCGACCGTCGCGGCCGCGACCACCAGCAACAACAGCAGGAACAGCAGTAACAGCCTGGGACAGATTGGACCGGAATCTGCACCTAGGTCGATTGAATCGTCGAAATCGGCCCTGTCTCGGCTGTTGTCCAAGTGCACCGTGAAGGAGCCGACGTACGATGAGGTAGGTACCTGCGTGTCAGCGGCCTTGCTGGCAGCAGGGGCTACACAGCGGCGTGATGGTTGTGCGTGGGATGGCGGTATGGGCACTACAGACATAAAGCGTTTGTGGGTTTGTGTTGCATCCGTACGCCGGCATGTGCTACCGTCGCCGCCATCACAAAACCTCTGGGGATCGATGCTCTCGAGGACGGTATCTCAATCAATGCCACCCTTAAGAGATCGGTTTGTCGTAACGGCAGGGACGGAATTTTTCCCCCCAGCTGGTGGGATTCTCAACATCGGGAATGCGCAACCATCGAACGATTCCTTTTTCTCCTTACGAAAGGTCGTCCTAGGATCTGTTCCTCCACCAAATCGTACCAACGTCGTCGCTTTTTTGTTGCTGTGTCCTCGCTGTCGCCGCCCCGTTGTCGAAGAACGGGTCTCGGGAGATTCTGCCCGGCAGGGGGCATTTTCGCCGGTCTAATGGTCCCAGCAGCTTGTACTTCGAGCTATACTTTTGTGTCTAGCTCACTGATGCCATGTCCCTACTTCCTCAGTTCTTGGAAGGTGTCACCAGCATACCTTCCTTTAAGGCCGCGACGGTTGATTTTTTTTTGCCGGTCCGGTCTTGGGGTGATGTCGACAGGTGGTGGTGGTGTACTTCAAGAGGACACGACGGCCTATCTTCAAGACACCAGCAACGTTGGCGACGCTCTTGAGGGCTGGGACAAAAATCGGCAACAAAGTCCGCGGCGTTGAGAAGGTGGACGCCGCTCAAGACGACGCGGACGAGGTCAAGGTGGGACAATGTGTCGATTTCCGTAGCCTTTTGTGGATACATCAGATATGTGGTGATCAAGCAGATTACCCGTTCCTCGGGCAGGTGCTACAATTCTACTATGGACGACGCGGTCAATGGATGGTGTGGTCGGTGATGATGTAGACTTTATGGTTCATGCGAGGAGACTAATGCACCGTCGACGCGGTTTTAGGCTGGTAGCTATTTCGTGTGCGGTTTACTTGATTGCCGCAACGGGATGTCTGGTACGATGATGGAATTTCCTGCAGAAAGTTTTCCTGCACGAGAGAATAAGAAACTGCAGTGGATTTCCCTATCCTGCCCCGGACTCTTATAACGGCCTGCAGCAAATGCATCAACACGTCGCATGCAGGGCTCTCCTATTCGCGCCCTTGGTTTCAATCCTTTCCTTGGTGGGAATCATGGTGCTAAAACACGCAGGCGGCTGGGCTAGGACTGCAACTGCGAGTGTACCGAGGAGTTCCGTTGGTGAACCTCAACTCCATCGCGCCGGACAAGAAGGTCGAAGTCCGCCCTCAGGTGAAAGGAACGAACGGACCATGCCCATAAACGCTCAGGGTCTTGGATTAGCGACGATCTCCACCGGCTTTAGCCTCGGGTTGGTGTTCTGTTTGTGTGGGGTCTTTGATTCTGCTGTTGGCGGGGTTCTTGGCGTACATGTAGCTTAATTTGTTGTTGGCGCCCACAACCAAGTGCATGAACCTTTCGAACGCGACTCGCATATGCTTTTGATCGTGGCTTCATGGTTGACGTGCACGTCTCGCTTGAAATTGATTTGTCGTGGGCTGGAAGAGCTCTCTGCGAATGAATCGATCTGCAGAGCAATGTACGCAACTCTCACCTTTCCCACAAGACTAGTCTGAATGAACAGAACGGAAAGATGATTCTTTGGAGCCCCTCACGGATCGATCTGTGAGAAAGCTTGGCCATGTCGCACGCTACCCACACGCGTAGCAGCAGTGCTATTTTCGTATATGCGTAGCTTCTCACTTTTTCGTGTCTGTTCTCTCCTCGAATTGTTTTCGGATTCTCCTTTGTGGTTTTCAGGTCATACTCTTGTGTCGTTTTCGAAGTTATGGCATGTTGATTGCAACATTTCAACGTGTTGTCGTCGAACGCTCAGCGAAAACCGTCTGTTGGCACATGTTAGTTATATTGTTTTTCGTACCTTGTGTTTTCCGAGTGTGAGCAGTGTCGGGCTTTCGCTGCTGGCGTTGTCCGGCTGCGCCTCGGCTACCGCCTCTGCTTTCGGCGGCTAGCAATCGCTCGCAGCGCTTCACGTATGCTGCACGTTCAGCCCTCCCCCCCCTCCCCCCTACCGGTTCGCCCCCCTGCTCTTGTCACACACATCCTGCGTCCAACTCAATCGATGGTCACGAAACAAGACTGCTCTACGATTAGATCTAAACACCGTCGTCGGTTTGGGACTGGTGCTGGCTAACTTGCGGTTCGACTCCCCGGTGCTCGTGGCGGCGGCGACCGTGTCGGTTGTGCTGCTGGTGATCAGGACTATCGTCGGCTACCTTAATGCAAGGGTGAGTCTCCGCCATAAGGGGGGTATTTTGTCGTTGTTCGTCACCGTGCGGCCGGGGGTTAGCGGGTGCCAATCTCTCGGCCTGTGCGCCGGAAATGGAGCCGGTGCTACGCAAGGTTAGGACCACGCGGATTTCGCCCTGTTCCAATGTTGTGTACGCGTGCAAGCTCGGCTTCCGCAGCATTCGTTGCGGCCTGCGCTTTTAATGCCACAGTGAGAAGGCTCTGCATTTTTCGACCGCTGTTTACACGTTCCCGAGATCCTGTATGCGTTTCTCACACGGTGGACAATGTCAACGGAGCGGGATACCATACACCATGGGCGCAAGTTGGCGTGTGGTTCTGTCCTTGTGGTGGGCTACCCGATAAGCTATTGGTCGATTCGATATTGAAAGTCGAAAGCCGGGCGCGTGATCATCGTTGTTGTTATTGTTGTTGTTGTTGTGGTCTGTCGTCACATTCTGTTGTGCATGGGGCTGGCTCCCGATCGCTACTTTTCTCTACTTTCAAGGCGGTGGTGGGCTTGATGCATGAAGTATCACATCATTCGTTTACTACTTCTGGCTCGTACGGCGTTTGGTTTGCTGAAACGCCTGCATACATTCGTTCCTGTGGCTGTTGCCAGATCCGCGTCGAATCGTTCGTGTCTCGCGACATTCTCGACAAAACCATGGGCTCCAATGTTCCGGTGCTTAGACATCTTGCGGAGGAGGCAGCGCAGCAAAAGTCACGGCACGTTGCCATGGTGTACGGTGAGCGGACGTGATGCTGCCAGTGCGCGCTTGGTGTAATGATGAATCGTTTTTTTTCGACGAATCCTTTGTGTGGGGGTTGTCACGCGATTGTGCACGTAACAGCAACGTTTCGGGGGCTTACCACACCACACAGCTGTTCCCACGAGGTGCCATGCCCAAAGGATGGCACAATCTTCCAGGACTTCAGCTGCATGCATCGGTGTTGTAAGATACGTGTGTACTGTATCGCCAAATTCTTACGGAAGTGTAAGCCACGCTTCGTAAACAAGAAATGTTGGAGGCGGTGACAGAAGCGCTGATGTCACCGTCTCTACTATTTTCTTGTCTTCGAAGCATGGCTCGCACTTCTGTACGAATTTGGCTGTACACACGAACCTTGCAAGACCGATACATGCAGGTCTGTAGCCAGGAAAGGTTGTGCCATTGTTTGAGCATTCCATGTCGTGGACCAGAATTGTTTCTGGGCATGCTGGAGCTCTCACACTGCGTACCACTTATCGACAAACCTCACGCTTTCACACTGCCATCACCCAGACAGTCATCACCTCGCTTGTCTGAAAAATCTTTCTTTCTCTATTCGCCTCGGCAAAACAGCCTCCCTGCTGCAGTGCGCTATCGACACCGCCCCCGAGCCAGCAGCAAGTAGTGCCACCAAGGAGTGTGAGTGGGGCGAGCTGGCCGCTGTGTCGATTGCGGCGGTGTCTCGGCACTGCGATACCATGATGAAAGCGTGCGTTGCGCTACCCTGGGAGGCCAAGCTGGATGTGCCGTACTGGCTAAAGGAGCTGGAAAACCTCAAGGCGAGTCAAGATTTGGAATCGTTGTTAGTTAGTCAACTTCAGGTCGCTGTAGTCGATGGTACCCCCAGCAACTCGAGAAGGGATGGAAGACCTCGAAGCGTGGGGCAATGTTATTTCTGGTTAACGTTGACCACGACGTGTTGCGACCAGAGTAGGTGCGGTGCATGGAGACGGTGCTAAAGTCGATTCTTGAGGAGCGAGCATGACGAGGACGATGTACCAATTAGACCGGAAATGGTGAAGCTCCGATGCCTTCTAGGATGCGTCACGGTACGTTAGGTGCCGCGTGCTGCTCAGGAAAGGATCCGGAGCTTTTCACGGCTCAAAATGCGCCCAAACTCAGGCCTGCTCTCATATTCAGCAGATGGGTTGCTGTGGATATCAAGACCTCCACAGCAGTACCACACAGGGCGAAACCTGACCCAACTGCTTCAGCGGGATGTGTTGTCCTCTGCAACATATAGTAGTATCCACGCTCATCTTGCCCTTGCACTGGTCTCCTTCGCTTGGTACCAGAATTTATTTTGTTTACCAGACCTACCACGCGCGCCACGATCTATCAAGAACCCCCGTCACCGTTTCGAGTTGTGGATTGGTTCCGTTTTTCTGAAAGGGCTGCCAGAGAATCGTTTTCAAACCTTGCGCATGTACAAACAAATAAACCCACAGATTCTTGTTCGGCTGGACGAACCCGGGCGGGAGGGCGGAGGGGACTCGAACACTGGCAAGGACGGCTCGTGCTCGTTACCGTTGGCTCTTGAGGACCTGAGCACGACTGCTGCATCCGCTGTAGCAGCGCCAACAGCGCCACCCCAAGCTAAGCCGCCAGGAGGATCGGCAGTTGGTAGCTCGGCCGTCGTGTTTTACCGCCTCCTCGACCCCGAGGCAGCGGTGGAACAGCTCAAGTCAATATGGTCCGAACTTGTGGAACCTCCACCAGAACGATTTAGTGATGCGGGGAGCCGTGGCTCCGGGGAGCCAAGCACGCCGTGGCGAAGGATTGGTGGGGCCAGCGATTGAGGACGGGGTGAACAGTCCCTATTTAGTGCTGTCAGTATCGTTTAGAGTACGACGAGTGTTTGGTCTGCCGTGGTACTTTTCGTCATGTTGGTCATGTGTTTGTTGGTGAGGACTCCGTAGACAGTCGATTTTATTGTGTTGTTTCGTTTTTTTTGGGCGGGACGGGGGCGGGCTCGGAGGGTACTTGGTGATGACGTGTGATGCAGGTCGCCTAATGTTTCGAATATGTACGTACGTGATGTTGAGCCTGTTGGAGGGGTAGCATCGATCAGAGACCCCTCTACGAGATCACTATTGCGATGTTTTCGTGACTCGGGTTCCTCCCGCATCCGGATTTTCTTGCGCTTCCCACGTGCTGATTCCTGTTGCTCGACTGGATTTATTTTTGAGCGTATTTAGTTGAGCGCGCAGTAGTGCTCTCGAACTGTTTGCCCCCCCCCCCCCGCCCCCCCTAAGCAGAAGTTTGTATGTTATCGACTGTAACCATCGCGACCGTGTGCCCCAAAATCACCATCCTCGGTGCGGGACGCCACGCAGAGGACGACGAGAGAGGGGGGTCTGTTCTGGCATCTTCATCGTCCGAAGGTTGTGGGGGCTACACTACAGTGCTCATTTGGAATGGGTCTGCAATCGCGCGCAGAAAATGGGCGCGGAATGAGACAACCCCGATTGCTGTACGTGACGTTGGTTGAGCCATCACCGCCCGGCATCTTTCAAAGTCGAGTAGAGGTATATGTGCACATGGGCGACAGCTTCTGGCATGGACAATTTCCGAATCATGCTGCGTGTTGGCCATCGCCTAATTGGTGACCGATCGAGCGTCGTTGTATTTTGTCCATGCTGGTATGGGTGCTTCCGTTAGACGCCGCTACCCACTACCGAGTCTATTCTGTAAGTGGGTGTCAAGAATGGAAGGAACTCTGCCTAGTGCTGGACCAAATCTACAGATCTCTGAAATCTGAACGGTAAGCTACAACCGAGGCTACCAGGAAGACCGCCAAGCTCTCTTAGCAGGTGGAATTGCACCAAAGAACCATGGTCAGCGTCACATAAACACTTGAACCGCGAGTCGAGTTTCGCTCGCAGGTTACTCGGAAGACGAGAGGGCTTCATTCGAGCGATCGGTCCGTATGATGAGGACATCCCAACCTCTGTAGCGCTATGTCCATACAGGCCCGCTGACGAGTACGAAACCGCAGCCCAAAGAACAAAAAAGAAACTTGTACCCAAATTGTAGGACTACCCTTGGCCACAAAATGTGTCAAAAGTCCACGGCCACGTGGCCCAAAAATCTGCCGTGCGGAGTCTCGTCCACCACTAGCGTAACGCGGGTTGTAGACCTTCTGACCAGTGGTCATCTTTGGCACCATTTTCAGGGGCAAAGGTCCGCCAGGATAGCCTCTGTGTTCTGCGGTACCCTTTGTTGAAGTTCACGGCCTCTGGTCTTGTTCGTATTCGTTCTCGTCGTGCCCTTGAGGCATCTGTGGATGCAGTTCCAGACCCACCGTTCTCGCCGTGCCATCGCAGTGATACACTCCAACCAAATGGCTTCTCACATCACGATTATCGAAGGAGGGGAGGTGATAAAAATGGTATTCAAGCGACAACACTACGCACACCGAGACTAAAGAAGCATGCACGAAAGCGAAAAGGACGTAAGCCCTCTGTGCGTACATGCGAGTGTCGGTAACCAGTGATTGCTGTTCCAAAACAAATTGCTTCGACTGTCGATGCACACCGTCTCTTGAAGGGCGGCATGAATTGCAGTTCAAGGAGGCTGCACGGATGTAGAGACATTTCATTAACTATTGGTGCCTCACCTCCCTCTCTCTTGCATTTCCGCCCGGTGACTGATGACGATGCATTGTTCGCTTCCGCTCTGTGCCCGATCTGCGAGAATCGATGCGACACGACGCACCTTGTGCGTATCCAGGGCAGAGTCAATCTGCTTGTAAAAACATACGTGCGAGCCCCACAAGAGGAAATTTGGAGAGTGAGCCTGTGATTTACAATTTGAAGCGCACTTTGTCCACCAACCTTGCACCAATCCTCGATCGCACCCGAAAGCGTGTGTGCGACATCGTTCCACAGAAATCACTAGAGCTCAAATACCAACTTTGGTCTGTCGAGATTCAACTCGAGTTCATTCAAACTGCAAAGAACGGACCCAATATATAGGCGCCTCTGTGCGTTTCGAATGTGTGTCTGGCGCTAGCTAGGTATTCCAACCAACATTGACACCTTCATGGCCATACCCGTGCACACCTGCATCTTGCTGTGTGTATCTTGCTGCTGGAGTAAGTGCTTGGGAGGTGCATCGCCGCAATGCCATTCTATTAAAATTGACGCTCGTCGTGAACATTGAACGCCGACGAAAATTACATGGACGATGTTCTTGTCTGCACTCCATGTACATACCCATCATATCCGCATGCGAGACATTAGCACTGATGGGAGAAAGCGTGTGCGGAGGATTCGCGCTTGATTTACGTCTCAATTCTCCATACTAATATCAACACATATTCTAGTTTTTGTCGGTCCCGAGGCGACAAAAGCATTCACTCGGGTTTTACATTCAATTCGATGGCGTTTTTTCTGTTTGGCAATACAGTATATTCACTCCTGATTTGATATATAATGAATTCTCATTCCCTTCATGGTTCCACGTTCCCCACGTGTTCACTCACGACTAGTTCACTCGAACTATACGGCACCTCAGAAAGAGTGCATTCCACGTGAAGTGAAGTGGATGTATCTCCGATAAGCATAAACGTTTGGGATTTACTACGGTAGCTCGTTCATACTCGGAAATGTCAACATCCGTTGAACGATATTCATGCAACATTCACTCCAACGACATAAATATTTCATGAAGAGGCAAACACCATACAATAATCACTTCGAATATATTTTGATTACCACGGTATGTTCTGTTTTCACTCCTACACAGCGCTTACGTTGATTTTCAAAAAGTGTCTCGCGTCGTGTACTGGTAACCCGCTCATACTTCACGGAAATGCCGTAATCCGTTTGCACAACATAAACGCGACTTCACTCCGCAGACACAAATATTTCATGACGAGACGAAGCTCATATTGCATTCCTCAATGACAAAAATGAACGGATATTCACTTTGAATGAATTTTCATTCCCACGGAATTGCGTGTGTTCACTCCCACACAGTGCGTCGGTTGATTCCCGCGCAGTGTCTCGTGCGTTAATCTTGTCGTTAGTGTATTTGTATGCTGTACACGGTTTGAAGCATGCGGGCGAGGGTCGGTTGGTTTGACTGTTGGCGAATTTCTGTCGCCTAGTTCTATGATCGTCGTGCGTTGCGCACGTACTGTACCTCGTCTGCTTGTTGAAGCTAAAGTGTCTCAAACCCGTCCAATTTGAGTTTAGTGGCGTTGTTCACATTTTGGTTGAATGGCGCTGCTCATTGCCGACACTCACTTGCGTGCGACGGAAGAATCGATGGTCATGGGCTCATTAGACGTCACTGACACAATCAATACAGATGAAATTATTTCCAGATTCACATAGTTGAAACGTATCCATTCTGAAAACGCTTTGGAGAGATTCCATCTCTTTTGAAGGGGAAATATATGATGTCAGGATCGTTGGGTGGGCTTGGCGGTCGACCGTGGTAGACTGCATATACGGAAATGATGAAATGCAGCACAATGTTGCGGATTCCTCGCGAGTTCCTCGCGCCGCATTTGGACGATGTTCACTCTGACAACATATATATTATGAAACGTATCATATTTCATTTTGCCAATGGCAGAGATGAATAGATGATCACTTCAAACACTGATTTAGATACATATTTGGTGTATTCATTTCCCACACATTGCATTCCCTTATTCGCTCTGTGTCGCGTGACCCTTCTCACGCAGTGCGTAGTGCTTCGCTCCTATCACTAATGTCCTATGTACGCCGTTCGAAGACGTTCCTGGGAATAGTAAGAGCTTCTCAAATCTGAGGGATCCATGGTGGGTTCGCATGCCTCGGATACGAAAAGAACAGATACTCACTTTGAAAGAAAGTTGAAGGAAACAGAAGTTTTTGTCATCACTCCCACAAGATTCGTACGTTGATTCTCAAGCCGTGTCTCGCGATTTGAAAGATGATTTCCACGGGATTTTGATTATTAACTCCCACTCTTGTCATTAACGTCTTGTTATTCACGGTTTGATGGTGCACCCTAAAATATGCAAGCGGCATGACGAGAGTCCGTTGGTTTGACTATTGGTCGATTTCTGTGGCCTAGAAACTCATTCTACCTTCATGCCTTGGACACGAACTGTACCTTGTCTGCTCGTTGAGGCCAAGGTTGTATCAAACTCGTTTACTTCGAGTTGAATGTGGCGCTGGTCATTGCCGACACTCACTGGTGTGCGACGGGAGAATCAACAGCTAAAGGATCATTGGCAATGATGCACATTCTCTCCAGATGCACTCGTGTGAAGGAGTCCATTCGAAACACAACACACTTCGGAGAGATTCCATCTTGTTCAAAGGGAGAAAAAATCATTTCAGGATCGTTCAGTGCGCTGGGCCGTTGACTGCCGTGGACCGTATATACTGAAATAAAAGCTGAAATGCGGCACAATGTCGCGAATTCCTCGCGCCACCTTTGGACGATGGTCACTCCGACAACACACAGGATTTTTCATACAGAGTATTTCATTTCGTCAATGGCACAAATGAACGGATGATCACTGCAAACATTAATTCAGATACAGTTCGGTGTATTCATTTCCCACACAGTGCATACGCTTATTCGCTGTGTATTCTCACGCAGTGCGTAGTGCCTCGCTCCGATCACTATTTGCGATGTACATCGTTTCTAAATATTCATTAGAAGCATTTCAATCATGCGGATGGAAAGTCAATCTCAGGGTACTTTACGCTTGGTATCAAGCCAGAGTTTGTCTCGCTTAAGGGATCCATGGTGGGTTCGCATGCCTCGGATAAGAAATAGATCTCTTCTTCCGCTCGTTGAGGGTGTCTCAAATCTGACCCATTTGAATTCGAATGCGGTACTCATTGCCGAAAACTCACTCACTCATTCGTACTTGTACACGAGGGAAGAATCGATTGTTCACCCTAGCGCACCTACAAGTAGAGGCGTTTTCACATGGGTTCATTCTCTTTTTCCCTCGATGTCGGGTAAAACAACTACAGAGGTCAATTTCAGAGGTACTGCGGCCACCACGACTATCACCAACAAACGAACGCACACAAGCGGCTCTGACCTCGTCCATGAGGTACAGGGGTGCTGGCCGCACGGCCTGGGTAGCGAGGTTAAGCGCAAGCCCCACGAGAGCCACCTGTCCACCGCTGAGAGACCCGGGCCCTCTCCATGGACTCATTGCCTCAGGCTTTACCTGCACGGACAGGCCTTCACTCGCTAGCAGAGACCTTTCAAGCGCGAACGCAGGAAAAATATTGAGATGATGGCGACGTCAAGAACGCGGATGTTACGTATAATCAGTACATCCCCGACGAGGATGGTCCGCCCTGAAAGTGAATGGGCAGGGGTTGATGGCATTGCCAACGGTTGAAACCAAACTGCCGTGACGTACAGCACGTTTCGGCCTTTCCTTTGTTGTTCGACATGGATGCACGCGCGGCAGCGTGTTTCCGTACCGTACCCAAGGAGTGAATTATGGCTCGTTCGCGTTATCACCGAGGCCTCATCAATGAATATGACATCAACATCATGGTGTGAAGGGCGATGGGATGATTAGTGCGATGACCACAATGTTTCACTCATTACGAGATGCCCAGGGTGGTGACATAGATTGGCAGAATATTCAGGTGCAGTGTTGTAGGCACCCTACAAGAGTACCCGCAGGTAGCGGTTCGAACGACCCCAAGAGCACCTCGTAGTGATACCGAGCCAGTTCAGGATGAAGGGCAGTCTATCTTTCCGCAAGCCAACACCGACAAGAGCCAGCAAGCCGTACCAGCGAAACTGATTAACCAAGGAGCGCGATAAGCATCGAAATATTCCATCACTGGTGCGATCTGTAAAGACCGGTACCTTTCTCGCGAGAATCGGAGGAAACAGTCCCCGCCCGTGGCACCCCGCACCCCGAACTTGCCGAACCGCTTGCTGTGAACAACGGAGTTGTTGTACATATTCCCCGGGTCTGCCGCGCCGAGAGTCAATGGCGATGGCCACAGATTATGAATGGTGGTGGTTGTGAGGGAGTATAACGTACGGAAGTACGCAAAGAGGCATACTTTTGTGAATTCTGCTTTGACGTACGCGAAATCGATATCAACCGTGCACGAGGCCGCAATTCAACTCGACAAGGAGCCTGCGGCGGTGACGAATAGGGCCGGGAGACAGCAAAGCGTTGCTTAAGCTATGCTGAGTGATAATTAACGCTCGACTGCTTCGGCGGCATACTGCAGTTATGTACGACGAGGCCCGCCTACGTCACCCGACCCCAAACAATAGCGCAGCTCGGCAGATTACCAACGACCGTGTTGCCACATTCCGCGACAGATGCATATTTCCCGCCCTTTTGCAAGCATGCGCCGACAAGGAGACAATATCCTTACCCTCGGCGCTAGTAAGCCGCCGATAGATGCCCCCTAGGGCTTCGTTGACTTCCTCTAGGCACTTGATCAAGGTGCTATGCCGCGTCGCCTCGAGCCCCTCTTTCTTGTCCATGAGGTCTACCACAGACTCTTTGGCAGCCTCCAACTTGCGCTCGAGGATCACGGACTCGCGATCCAAACTTGTTTGGGGAGACGGCGTCAAGGACAGGAATATATATTGGTTCGGCACTGTTGCTTGTTGTTGCTGGTTATATTCCGGCTGTCGGATTCGCGCTGTCAATGTGGTTGTTTCTCATGCGTCATACTAAGTTATGTAGGGTTGCAAAATTGGCCAAAAACAAATGCGTGCCAGAGAGGAACCGGGGGATACCAAAGCGGCCAATATATGAGCTTGAGAGAGCCATCAGATGCCAACGATGATAAGGACTCCACTTCACGTAGATCCGGCTGTTCATGACTGGCCAACCTCACTACATATCAAGGAACATTATGTGGGCCAGACGTTTCACGGCTACAATCGCGACAACATACAACACAATTATTGTCATGGCATTTGATCTATTCAAGCAGCCGACGCTCAGCACGTGCTAAAACCCGCTGACAGGGTTGCATCGCCACGTTTACCGGACCGTTGACTCGTTGAATCACAGTCCTTTCTTGCAGTTGTAAACTCTGAGGAATGAAATTTGGGAAGGTTCTCTCGACCAACCATCATTGCATAACTGACATGGATCGTGAAAGAAAATGTTGTTGTTTGATTGGACGACCGGAGTAGAGAGCATCCTCATCAGTCATTGTGAACCGACGCCCGAGATGAGCGACGGCTCTTGAGAGTCGCATGCCGTTTCCACTTGACAAAGTAAACATTACCAAAAACAACAACAATAACAACAACAAAAACAACAACAACAACAACAGCAGCAGCACCAGCACCAGCAGCAGCACCAGCATCAACAGCATCAACGTCATCACCCGACCGTTCCCCACCGCACAAACCACGGCTGTCTTACATGGCATCAGTCCATCGATGGCCAACGTCATAACCATCATCATCCTCATCACCTGACTGCGCGAGTGACGGCGGTGATATCGATAGCCTCGCGGTGCTTCTGCAAATCGGCCTCCTTCAGCCGGATCGATGCTTCCGCAATGCTGCACCGGGAGAGATACAATAGTTCAGATTGAATGTATAGTCACGACAAAACCAAAGACTTTGCGATTTGATCGCGGAACACACCCCAGCAACCGTGCAAGCTTGAAGACTACCTCCTCAAGCTTTTGGTCTTCGAGCTGTGTACACACGCCCGTGACCAGGTTGGGAAGGTCCAGCGGGAGCTTTCCCATCAACCGCGGATAGAACAAAGCGTTAGGGAAGAACGACCAAACTTTACGGAGGAATGCCTGCGCACTGCGGAGGAGCGCTCGCGCACGGTGACACGTCATAGTTTTCCTCCGGCGGTTGTATATCGCGCGAGACCAAAACAAGCACTCTACAACGGCTGAGTCACAGCAGAATGAAAGGCGCTACAACGAGGGAGATGTGAGAGCAGGGCAGCGAGGGCGGGGAACTGCCAAGATTCACACAAATATCACTGTACATCGTTGTCTGTAGATCCACTATTCCAACTTACTCTGTGTCCCCCACGAAATCTTTGTATCCTCTTCCTCTGCTTTTCCCTCCTCCGCTTCCACCAGTGGCTTCCTTCAAGACGTCCACAAACGCCGCCACGCTGGCCTCGTCCTCCTCCCGGTCGGCCGTAATCCGCATCTCAGGAGACTTGCTCCGCTCTCGGCGCCCTCCTTTCCTATTAGGAGGGGCCCCGCCGCGCCCTTTGTCGTCGTCACCTTCACCATCGGTGGGCCTTGGCGAGTTGCTGTTTTGAAAGAAGATGAAAGTTTCTAGTTCGCGAGATAGTCTTGTTCCTCCTTCTGCTGTCGCCATAGCGGAGTCGTGGACGTCTTCTGAAACACGAAAACAGGTCAAGATGCGGTACTTGAGGGGTGTGTTCGTCATGAGGTGGATATATTTGGCTTGCACGCGGGGATCATGCAGATACGCAAAGATACATATCAAAATCTTAAAGAATAGCTCGTAACCACGCCACATTGCGGGGTTGGAAGACCGTTAATTTTAACTGTTAATTTGATCGAAGAACCCACTGGGCATATAGTTCACAGGAGTAGCGTACATGTAGCAGCAGAAAGAGAAGACATGGACAAAAAATCACCTTCAGCTTCGTCAGCTTCGTCATCTAGCCCGTCTCTCGACGAAGGACCATCAGCATAGGCAGCAGTGCGCGTGGCCTCAGCAAGATACCGTACTAGATGGGATGCATCTACTCGTGCCTTGTGGCGGTCTTCAGTCAGTGCCTCCTGCCTCATTGACAGATCCATTCTTTACCACGAAGATTGGGCAAGCGGGAGGGAGACAGGGACAAAGAGAAACGTCCAAACAGAGGTAAAGAAGCAGGGAGACAGAGTAGCGAAGTGCAAACATTGCCACAAGGAGATGGGGAGAAATGTGTGATGCAACGGCCGATAGCTGTATCATCGGCTTTGAACGCTCGCCGAAACGGATGGGAAAGGTAATTGTCGAAGTGCATGAGAGGGACGACAGCCTGTCGACTCCAACAGCTCCGTTACACATACCAGAACATCAACAATTTATCTTCATCGTTGTCAAAGTGGTCCAACAGCATGCAGCTGGCAAGTGCGGTTCAGAAACACCAACCGGGTTGCCTCAAAGGAAGAGAGCTCGCGCTTTGCTTTCCTCGCAGACCCCTCGGCCTCCCGCGCAGCCTCGCGCTTGCCTTGATAGGCTGATTTCGTAACTTCGAGCGCTGAAATCAGGTTGGCTATCTTCTCGTTGAGAAGAACTTTCTCGGCCTGTGATATTGGACGCAAACGACCCCGGTTGAATGCTAGCCCCTCAGAAGAGTTGTATCTGACAGTGTCGCGAAAACCGTCTTGGCCGAACACCAACATCTTATTCGACAAGGGGTAAAACTAGTTTGTTTACACGCAAGGTCGTTTGCTAGCGACGGGAATTCCTGCAAGAGGTAGGGTGTTGAGTGAGACTTACAGATGGCTACCTTAGGTTCACCAAGAAACTCCTCAGAGCCCTCCCTCCTAGCCAAACGCAGATGATCTGAAAGCCTGTGAGTTAGGTCCATGACTGAGAATGTTCCGTCGATCCTCGGTGGGGTACGGGAACGTTTCGCCTGGTGGTCACCTTGCTTGACTGGTGCTGCGCTTCCAAGGACTTTTTCTCTTCCGTAATGGTCTCCACACGATCCCGCCTAGCCTTCCCGCGTTTCGTCAAGACGCGTAACTTCACTCCCACCTGAGCAATCAAACAAGGGGTGGAAGGTAAGTTCGCCCGCTTGAATCATCGGGGTAAACAACACCATCCATGCACTACGTCCAGAAACCGTATTGAATTCAAAGGGACTAAACGAATGGTCTATTGAACCTTGAAGCATGCCCCGCGAAAGCGGAGGCGAGTGAGTCTGGCCCTCATCGAAGTGGATGGCATTCGAGAAATGCGTAACCGACAAGATGTACCATTCCCTTACAATATAATGTATTTGTACGTTTGGTAGATAGCGATGGTACCAAGCCAGGGTTGAGAGGCCTCGACCAGGGCCTGGAAAACACTTCGTACCGAGGGTGAATACCTTCCGTTGAAAATCGTTGAAACACGCAACTGCATTGTTTACCTCTTCGCGACGCCCGCTTTCGGTGTCAGCTTTGGCCCTGAGGTTCCGAAGCTCGAGGGTGACTGCGGCCCGAGTGTCGACGTTGATGCGCTCCACCCTTCTTTGCGAACCGGAATCACCCTCCTTCGTCTCCGCCAGCTCGCCAAGGATGATTTCCCTCCTGTGGGGGACAATACATCGAACGCAATGTAGAGCTACGCGTGTGGGGTAAAGAAGAGCGAAAATTCATGATCGCTGGGAACCCTTCGAAGTGCCTCGATCTTGTTCTTTATGACCACGACACTCCCGTCAAACACGGAAACATGATCCTGGTAGGTAGCCCTACGCCTTCGCAGAAATACGTTGATTTTTTCGTGTCTTTGTCGGAAGGACTAGAAAAGACTACCTGCTTCGTCCCCTCCCCCCTTGGACCGGAACCTGCTTACCGCTGACGAAGTTTTTCCAGCTGGATCTCTTCGGGGTCCTCTGCGGTACAGCTGTTGCTTCCCGAAACGAGCAGGCGGCGCTGTGCCGAAACCTTTTGGCCTGCCCCTAGCACCTTCTGTAGGCACTCCTTTGCCTGCCGCCGTCATCGCACCAACGTTGTTGGTACAGTCAAATTGGCAACAAGCGGATCGTACATGGTGCAACGGGAACAACAGGCGCGCAATACACACCGATAACACACGGCGTGCATAGATCTGTCATCTTTCGCCGAGTACCCACGGAGTTGACTGTGTTGACCAATACCCACGGAGGAGGTACATCTGACAATCGATCGCTCCACGAAGGTGGAAGGTGCAACGCCGTCCTTGAAACAACGCAAACAAATCTAGCAAGGGCCGTCTGGATCCGTCCAAATTTAGGCACCAAGAATGCTGCCATACCGAGTTTTGCGCTGAGGCATGACGAGCTTGAGCGTCTTCGCAGTCGAACCGGGCCTGGGCTGTCTCGCGAGCCAGTTCAGCCGCCCTCGTCTCGGCCCCTGACAGGGACTCCAGCGCTCTCTTCAATCGAACCTCAACCTCGTGCGCGCTGTCCTCGGTACCCGCTTGCTGCTGGATCGGGCCATGACACCCAACGCCTTGTTGTTGTTGTTGTGGTTGGGGTTGGATTTGGCCGCCCCGGAGTACACCGAGGCGCGGTGTGTACGATGACGTTGACGTATGAGGTGCCTTCACGGCCACCTCGCCACTGGCATAGAACAGCTCACCTACGGGATGGTGCGCATGTGTGTGCGTGGTGAACCTAATCATTGGCCACGCAGAGCTTCCGAACGGCTGCCATGCAAGGAGGTGTCACTATCGTGGTGGTGGATACATGCCAATTCCGACGTGCGGTAGGGCATCATTGTTGTCGTCCTTCAATCAAGGTGGACGAAGGTCCGCGGATCAAAACATACCTTGTACATGGAGTGTCACGGGAAAACGACATCAGTCGTATTCGACGGCGCACTTCCGCTCACCTGACGAGGTCACAATGTTGGCAGCGCTTGATTTCGATGGCGCTCTCCTCGCACCCCAGGCCACTTGACGAGTCTCTGCGAGCAACCTGCGAAGAAGGGACGGAAAATTTGATGCACCGCGACGGAAAATCTTCGAGGAACCTCGTGAGAGGGGCAAGAAAGGGGTAGATTCATCAAGCCACGCCAGGATTTTTTTGCCTGATACCGCACCTTGTCGAGATACCTCACACCGCGCGACGACGCACGAGTTGAAACATCACTCAAAATTTCTTGTGCTGAGGAGGAATATGGGCATCGCCTTCAGAGATTTCCTGTCAGGCCCTTTCGCTGGACATCCAAGGCAAGGCACATGTGCAATCATCCTTTCACCTCTTGTCGACGCCCACAAGATGAAAGCAAAACTTCCGAACTTACCAGCTCCGCAAGTGTTTTTCCACCGCCGGAAAGTGCCGGGGATCCGATGTCGTCACACACTCCGACAGGGGGCTCAAGCCTTGCCCTCCTCCGCGGCCTCTGCCAGCCGACGCCGAAGCATTCCCATTTCTCATCTCGTCGAGCACATCGCACCGGACTTGCACGTTGATTCCGGCCGCCCTGACCGCCGCCACAACCCGCGCCCCGTCCTTGCGTGTCTGCACCACTACGGTGTTGCGCAGGGCTGATCCGAGAACGGCGGCCACCGCCGCCTCGTCACACGACCGACGAAGGAGGAGTAGGTCCGCGAGCATTCCGTGCGCGCCTACCCCGCCTTTCCGAAGCTTCTCCACCAACGACCGCAACGCGCCGACCCGCCCGTGGGCGTCAGGCGCAGACTGCCTTCCGACGGCGCCACCTTGGCGCTTCGTCGATGAGCTCGAGCTTTTCGCGGGTGGGCTGCGCGTGTCGGTGTCCGCGGAATCTCGACTCCCACGACGAGCTTCCAAGTGTCCGATGAGAGCTTGCTGTGACGTGCAGTGAGCGCGTAGCTTGGCCGATTCCGTGTCCATCTGTTCCGAGAGCCAAGTGAGGGCGACATCCGAGTCATGCATATTCAGCGGCGGAAAAGGCTTCGCTGGTCACAGAGCACGCTTTGATCGTTTGCGCGCACGGTCCGCTGAAGCGAGAAACACACGACGCTGCCCCAAGGCAGTAAAACACCCGCCGGTGAACCTACTGGTGAAATTTCTCTAAGAGCGGTTTCGGGAAGAACATGTAGAGCAAGGTCCACGTTGATCTGTCGACAGTTGCCCTATCGGCACCCCTCCGTCCTGTTGCTTACCCTCAAACGCACTTGCAACACGACCGATATTAGCCCAAAGCACGAACCTCCCTGGCCTCACCGCCCCTTTTCTTCCCGTATCCCCTACCTCCGCAATTCTCCGTCGCAGATCCTGCAGTTTGTTTTTCGACGACGCAGCAACCCCGTCCCTTTTCTCCATTTCCACGCGAGCAGCACTCGCGTCTGAGACGAGATTGTCCAACAGCGTGCCGGCCTGCGAGAGAGTTCGCTTCCTCTCTGCGATGCATTTCTCCAGTTCCGGCAACAGATCTTCCTCCAGAGAACTCAGCTCCCGCACGAGCTCCTCGCGCTCGTCGAATCCTTCTCCCCCCGGTACATTCAGCTCCGGTGACCTCTTTTCGAATGGGTACGGGCAAGGAGAAGTTTCGCTAAGCTCTGGCCGCAGAACAACACACCGTACCCTAATTCTGATGGCCCAAAAATGTCTCATAGCACGACCGGCTCCGTGCGGACTTGTTCGGCTGCGCCACCGGCAGCAGCAGAAGATGGTTAAGCAGACAGGGTTCGCTTACGTTGTGCAATAATTTCACGAGAAGCCTGTTGTGCGCGAATCGATGACCGTCTATACATCATCCATGTTGTTCGAAGGGGGAAGTTGACAATATATTTAATTGGCTACAATTTAAATAATTGGCTTATATGGAGCCGAAGATGGGCGTGTGTCAATGACGGTCGAACCTCGAGTTTGGTAGCTATCGCCGTTGACCCCCACGGTCGTGAACATTCCTTCAACCCTTTCCGTGGTCATACTCAAGCGGATTGTGGTACTCTGTGGGTATTGCTTCCCGTACCACAAAGAAAGAGGCATTCTTCATATGCTTACATTCCGTGCTGGCCTTACCTCGAGCTCGTCGATACGGGTCTGCATGCCACTGACGGCCAAATGGAGCTCGGAAGATTGCGCCGACAGCGCAATGATCTCCACGTTGCCCTCCTCTAGTTGCTTACGAGCACGCGTCAGAGCCTTCCCCTTGGTTCTGACATCCATGCGAGAAAAACAGAGTAGTCTTAATTCTGTCGCAGGCCAAATTCACAGAAAACCTTAACCGGAAGTACGACGAAACTACGTTTAGGGATCGTGGGAAAATACTCGGTGATTGTACGGCGGACATACGTCCAGATCGAATATTGTCGTCTGAATGGACAGGTGACATAAGCCCCCTCCTGGTGAATCGCTAGAGCGCTCCTCGATGGGACCGGATCACGCAGGTGAGGGGGAGCAGCTTTCCTGACACCAGTGACCATTACATGTGGCTGACTTCCGCTAAGTTGTACCTCGCGCTCTTTAGGGTCTTGCTTGCAAGGGCCTCCAACTCCGCTTGATCAGACTTTGCCCTCTGCACTTTCCCGCGGGCACCGCTCTGGGACTTTAGCGCTTTCTCCGCGGCCTGTGTCGCTCGAGCTAACCTGCGTTCAGTGGACTCATGCTTGGCCCTGCACGTCACAATCACCGCAAATCGATACCCTCATGCGTCAAGGAAGAGCCGAATGGTTCGCGCCAACATCAATGCTCCAAGCGTGCTTCTCGCGTAAATTCCGTTCGAGCACAAAACACGTATGTACGTCCCCCGTTCGTTCGGTTGACTACGTTAGAGCAGACGACAGGGTGTTGCGCTAGCATGTTCCGCTTACGGATGCTAACCAATGTCAAGGCCTAGGGCATCTGACACATGCGTCCTCCTCCCCATGCCCACTCACTTGCTGGACTTCATCTGTTCCCGTAGCTGGTTGGCTTCGCAATTGTTCTTGGCCAAAATAGATTCCATTTCCTCCAGGCGCACCCTGGCGAGAAGGAGTTAGGCAGGGCAGATCTCGCGGTGTGTCACGTTTATCTTGATGCTGGCAGTACATTGGCCGTGTCTCAATCAACATGTCTATGAGAAGGAAAACAGTACATACACAAAGAAGCGGAAATCACCCACAAGACGTGCAAATATTTTTGTAGGGAAGATCAGAGCAATTCGAAATGAGCATGGGACGGCTCGACGCACGCTAAACGGTCGACATTTTCAGCGATATAGCATAGGCAATGAAAGTGGCACTGGATTACCCGTTTGCCAGATGGACTTTACCTGAGCAAAGCCAACTTCCTATGCCATAGGGCAGTTTTCTCCTTTTGAAGCTCGGCGGCTTGGTTCTGATGAGCGACGAAGGCCTCCACCTACGACCAAAAGGCGGGACATGAAGTGTCTGCACGTCTGCAGTCATTGCGACGTGATTTCACTGGCTGACAACCGGTTAGGTGTGGTTTCTCAAGATGAACGACCCGCCGGTTTCGTGCAATGTTCTGGAGATCGGGCTGACAGTAAAGGCAGTTGTGTCGAAACGGTTCCGAACGACTGTCGCTGATTGGAAATGCCTTCGAAAGAAGAAACAAATATTAACGGAGAATGAAGAACCGATTCCAACCTGGTTCACCACCTGGCAAGCTGATTTCAGCGTAGTAGACGAAGAAACTGCAGCAGGGGGGAACCGGGAGTCATCAGAGGCTGTTTCCGACAGGCGTGGCCGTATGACGTGTTCGCAGCAGGACAACTTCTGTCTCTAGCGCAGGTCAATGCAAAAAACATTTTGAAAAAGGCCAAATTTCACCTGGAATAGTACATGTCAATGCTCTGTCACCCTATGTTCGTCTTCACAAGAAGCGAGTGCCGGCGGACCATAACTGTACGTCAAGCACACTTCGCGGCGATTGTCCCACCTGGGGCTGCAGTCCTTTCCTGGCATGTGCCGATGATTGCACATCGACCTCGAGGCTCAAGGTATCCTCACGCAGATCGTCGAGGTCAGTTTGCACTTGCTCCGCTTGTGTCTTGAGCTGGGTGGTCCCTGCAAGGCGCTCAATGAACGACAGGAGCTCCTTCCCGTCACGGTGGCAGACCTGCCAGAAAGAGGCCAAGAGCGACAATCACCATAGAGGGGGGACATGTGGTTGATTTTGTTGTGTTGACAGCGGTAGGTGACACCACGTGCGTGCACCTCTAAACTCGATCCACACTGGCTCGATCACAGTCAGTCTGTATTCTTACCCGTGGGTGTCTACAGCAGCAATCGCAACTGGAACCGGCAATACGGACGTACCTTTCGTGTTTCGGATAACCAAGCTTAACCCGCTGTCTGTTGACATCGGAGGATTTGCACGATCGGTTGCAAAGCGGGACCATTTCCTTGGCTGTCGGATCAAAACTCTCTGCTTGGAGCACCGGAATTCTCCCGAGCCATGTCACCGATTCCTCGTACCGTACCAACGAACGCCACACAGCACATGCTGGACACGCACGTACCATTGTGGAACCCTGTTTCAGAAGGTAGCGGTCCACGTCGCCCATATCAGCCCCAACGAAAGCATTGAGGGCTTGCATCATTGCTGCCCTTGAGCAGGCTTTTCCCTATGCATCATCAGGTCACCGTAGAAAGCGGGTCGGAGATCGTTCGTATCAACAGCGAAAATCAGGTGAAACTCCCCCTTCATACAAAGGTACTGAGATCCAAATTCCTGGACTCCCGAGCGGAAAACAAACCGACTTCGGGTGCACTTGCGGGTGAAAGTTGCGTTGATATCCCTGATTTCGTGCGAAATTTTGTGAACTCTCAAGATATTGGTGAGGGTCTGGTGACTGGGAGCAGGCCCTGTCTATAACGAAAGGAAGTAGGGAGTGAAGGGGTCATTGTTGCACAAACGGGCATACAGACATACAAGGCGCATTGATTCACAACCCGCTCAACATATGCTAACAACTTTCAACGTGCGCATGTAGATGGTAAGACTCTTGCACAGGCCCTCTTCGCACCTGCACACTGTATGTGCTCGTTCCCCGGGAATGCTTCACAGATCTTCCTACCGATAGCTCTTTCACACTACCGGGGTGGAAAGTCGTCGGGTCTTCGACTGACTGCGGTCGGCAACGGAGTCAGGGGGTGCAGCAAGGCTTTCACGGCGGATAATGGCACGCTCGGTGGTGCCGAGCACATTGGCGCACCACAGGCGGTTTTTTCGTGAGATAAACTAGAAACCTACCAGTAAATTCTCTCCTTGAGGTTGGAATGGCCAGCAGGCTTTGGTGTGAAACATTTTGCCTACGTCACCCAAATACAAACCTTCAACACAAGGGCGGATTGAGTCTAAACGCTTCACAAGAAGGAAACTGTACACTTGAGTAGGCCAGTGATTGAAGCCCCCATTGTGAATCCTCTACTAGATCGGCGGGTCCTTGCAGGGTTTCCCTCCGCCAATTCATCGTTTGGTTTAACTCTCGCCAAGCGGGACCGTAGTATGAATGAAACACATCACATCTCGTATGCATGCGCTTCTGCAAACTGAAGTTCATTTGTTTGAAGTGGGTGATTACCCCTCCCCTAGGCCGACTGTCATAGCTCGATTGTTCCAAAACCAAGATGCCGCCAGTGCCGAAAAGGGTGGAGTTGCAAAGTCTCGTGGAGAGTTCTCCTTCCCGATATCAGTTGGTGTTGGCACTCCCTTGTTGGCGGAGAAAGTCAGCCTTTGAACGTCAGCTAGTGGATGTTCGATCACTTGCACGTTTACGGCACAAAGCCATTCGTATCCCCACGCATAAAAAAGAGATGGAGTTCACCCGGACAGGGGCAGGGAAAAGTTGGACATAACGCAAGCAGAAGAGCGTACAAACTATGTAGTGCCAATGGGTCGTCAAGATGAACAGCTACTATTTGGTGCCCGCAAGGCATACTCACTTGTTCGCCATCAGTATCCATCCCTTGCCACGCCCCTGCCTTCTGAAAAGTAATAGTGACGCTCGCGAAGGCGTCGGGTCCTTTCTGGAGAACACTTTGGTCGTTCACCAGTTGGGCCGAGCCCCGGCTTGACCGAATGCACTTGGAGCTCTGCAAAACGCAGTATGCCATCAGCACTTGTTCGCCACGACGGACAAAACGTTTGTATGTACATGCACATATGCCGCTTGCCCTTGGTGGTAGAAGTGGTGGTGGGGGTGTGAACGATGACGCAGGCATACATGCTTGACAGCGCTGCGGAGGATCGCAAAGCCACCATCCACAGAAACGACCGGCGGCCTGATCGCACTCTATTGCGCATTAAGATCCAAACTGACGGCATTCACTCAGATGGAGGCATCTCGTTCGTGAATACATACCATGTGAAGAAGAAAATAGAAGTGTCTAGTCAAGAGCCGCAGCTGTGCGACAACGGACCCCCGTCGGGATCACGACATGATACACTCAAAGATAGGCTCGGAAAAATACAATGTCTTCCCCGTTTTCATCCGCCCTCATAAAAAAACGCCATTTTGTGTGTGTGTGTGTGTGTGTGTGTGTGTGTGTATGTTCATCCTACCTATTCTGGGCGCCAATCTGCGCCACGCCATTCGGTAGAAAACTTGGTGCACCATTCGGGATATAAATATATCTTGTTTTTGTGACTGCATTTCCGTGTGGCTTCTCGTGTGCTGCTTACTTTACAATGTCGACGGTTCTTCACCCAAACACGTGACTGAAGCCACACGCTTCTCCCGACGTCTTACTCCGACGGCAGCAAACCATCAAGGTAGTGATGAGTGATGCTATTGGAGTATCGTATGATGCTCGAAAACGGAACCTATCTTGATCTTGACTGTTGCTCTGAATCTAGGCTGCTATATACGCCTATATTTAGTACCAGTACTTACATCATTACCACCTCGCCATAGAGAATTATACTCTTTGTGCCCCCGGTCGGTGCGTCAAACCCACGAAGTAACCGTAACGGCGTAGACAGGTGCCCAACACTACTGGTACGGAACTACAACTGGACAACAGGTTTGTTCTTTCTACGAAAAACTTCCCTTGTGTTCCTGCGGTGCCTGCCTTTACTTCTAACTCCCGAAGGGTTGCGTTGGGTTGGGTTCAGCAACCCATTTCGTCTCTTCTGTAGAGACTGAAGTGCTTTGTGAGGATACCAACTAAGCCCCCCAGCCACCGTTGTACAACGAAGCTTCAACTCCGTACAAAGAAGATCCTTCACATGAAAAAAAAAATGCGGCGCAATTTCACACCTGTCCCGAGAGCACAAAAAACACGCCGTCGAATAGGGCTGACTTGCCGGCCCCGTTGCCTCCAAACACGACGGTTAGGGGGGAGGGAGCCAGTGATTCTTCTTCATTGTACGGCGTTGGTTGCCAACCGGGACATACATCGATCACCTCGCTGTACGTAGTAGCATAGACAGACAGACAGGAGGTTTGGAGAGTCGTGCGACAGAGGGATAGGGCCGTAGGAGAGATAGGGCGCAAGGAAAAAGCCAGGCCCGGTAGGAAATGCGCAGACGAAGTACAGATTGGCAACGGGGGTAAGCCAAAGTAATGTCAGGTAGCACAATTCAAACCTCATGGGATTGCATACATACGTGAGGTTTCAAACACGAGGTCTGCACGCGCACCTGTCGCGAAATGTTTTGAAGCCTTCGATCTGCAAGCGCTTCAGCAACACCTGCTCCCGACTTCCTACTGCCGTTGCCTCTGGTGTTTTGCTACATCCTGGTGGGATACGCCGTGCGCGCTTGGCCCTTGGACTCTCCATGCTCTGTGTGCCTGCTGAGGGGTAGAGTGAACAGCAGATACCAGAGACCAGAGAGAGCCAGCAACGGGGGTCCCGCAGAAGGAATGACAACAAGGCCTCCACCTATTTTGGAAACCCGCAATCACTCGTTGTGGGTTGGCGGATGGACAGACATCACATGCGTGAGATGGACTGCTTGTTTTCTGCTGCGAACCAAATGGCAAGACCCGGTCCCGAGAAGAAATGGGAGATCATTCTGGTGAGAAGAGCAAGTAGGGAACGCAATACCCCGTGACGATCACACGGATGGCCAGAGGCAGGTTATCGGTACAGCAATAGGTTGGGCACCAAAATGCCTCCCAGTAGTTGCAACCTGCGGCGCCGAGGTTGCACACCGAAGTGTGCAAGCTAGTCCCGCATCTCGGATAGAGGCGTTAATCCAACTAACACTGCGGACTGGTAGCATAGACTTTGTAGACAAGTGATTCCGTCCTCCCACCCTCCTCGCCCCAACCTCGAACGGTGCCCAAGCCCTCTGGCCACCTAGGCAACAGTTCATCTCGGTCTGTTGTTGTAGAAGTCCTTGGTGCGTGCACCTTGATGCTGTCTCGTCCGGGGCCAATGAATGTTTGCCTCTCCTGCCTGCACCTGAGTTCAAAGGAAACGCTGAACTCGGCATTGAAGAATGAGGATGGGCCTTGCAGCGACAATACTGCGCGGGACATCCTCCTATGCGGCCAGACCGTGCGCGTGGTGATCACCGAGAAAGAATCCGCGCAGACCACCAGTACTTTGAGGCAGCTGCTCCTTAGGTGCGAGCGATGCAGTGTACAAGAAACGGCCATCACAACTTATATCAATCTTTTCACTTCCTCCGTCTTCTCCGTGGCCAACTCTATGCACGGCACTAAAGTTTTGAATGAATTGGTACTGTAGTATTGTCCATTCACACAGATCGCTACCCACCGTTGGTTCTCGTCGTATCCGCTAGATACGACACATCATTGCTCTCGCTTAAGAGGTGAGCAGCACATGCTTTCCCGGCAACCTTGAACCTTCCAGTACGCGTAACTGAACAGGGAAATCGACAAAGAGGTGAAGGCCCTTGGTAGGTGACGAAGACAGGGGCAGAAACTCAATCTCGTGTGCGCGCAGAAGAAGTTCGTCCGCAACGAAAGAGACGGTGGAACCGGCGTGAGCCCCTCACGTTCAGCAGTTGACCGACAGACGAAGACATTGCCTCCATGGCGAGTAGAACTTAGAGGATTCAGGGCTGTTTGTGTTAGTGTTTTGTAGCAGTATAGATTCTGTAGGCTCGGCCGGTTTCCTTTGAGCTAGTTTGCTACAACACAGTGCGCCCGAGAGAGCGCTACTGTTATAGGAACTTCGCTGTTTATGGGTGAGACCGTAGGTCTGATGTTCATTTGAAGTCATTGGTTGGTGTTTACAAAAGATGGTCAGACTTACACGTCGGGCTCGGCCGTATCTGCCGCTTTCCGAACCGAGGTCACTCTATCTCTATCATCCAAGCAACTATCGCTCATGGTCTGGCTACAGTAAATTCCTATCCTGCGGCCTCGTCAAGCCGTCAACAAAGAAAGAGCCTCAAGGCAAGTAATCGAAAGGAAGATATTGTAATCGATCAACTGACGCGCCAGCTGTCTCACCCAAAAATGTATCCTGCATCACAGCTGCAGTTAGAAAGGCAAGGCCGAAAGGAAAAAAATTGCGAGCGGTCGTCAATAAGTGAATGCGATGACGAACCAAATGCCGCCATATGAGTACTGCAATGCAATGCCAAGTGAAAGCGCGAGTATTTGGTTAAACCTACCCTCAAATTGCTTCGGTGAGCTTCCCAATGCTGGATTCGCCCAGTGGTTTTGACAAGTTTTGTAAACAGAAAGTCCTGCTTACACTATCCATGAACCCCCAAGAAATGAGCCAAAGGTACATGCTAACACTGCACTGTTACGGCACCATGAATTCACGAGGACGCCGACCATAGGCTACGGTTGAGCTGTCGTGAAAACGGAAGTGGCGTATCCATCTGTGTTCACGAGGGCCAGAAGGGTTGCTAGCGAAGTGAAACTCTGCCCTTGTCGAAGCTCCAATTTAGCTCCAATTATCTCTTCGAATACTGAGGACTTAATTTTGCTTTGGTTCCGACCACCAAGGGTAGTAAACGTTTCTAATTCTAGCACAAAAGGTGGCCTCAGCTATGTGCACAGATGCGCGCAATTCCCTTGTCAATCATCCCATTCGGGAAAGATCTCGGTCGTAAGCAGCAGTTGCATCCCGGTTTCTATCCGACCATACAACCAACCTCTGACTCGAGCGAAACAGCGGGGAATGCCGTTGGTGGAACGTCCAAGAGCAGGCCCAAACCGAGCCGGTGAGAGGCAGCACGCTGATGGGGTTGATTGGTTTGTGGTTTACGGAACGGTCACTCTCCGGTACAAAGAGTGTGATTTCCGCCGGACGATGACTTCAAGGGCCAAGAAACAGATTATACTCGCAACATCAGGCGACATGCCTGGGACGTGAAACGTTTCGTTGGCTCGTTGGCCCTCCCCACACAGATCATCACTGTCTATCAGCTGGGAAAGAAAGTGAAAGTCTAGGTACAGACGGAAACCTGTGCCTCCCGAAAAGCTTGTTCTGTTTAGCGTGAGACGACTTGGCTTGTAAAACGCTCTTTACCTTGCGGTTTTTGGTGTTTGCCGAAAAAGCGGAGTCTACGTAGTAACAGTGTATTTCCTGTCTTGATGAGCCTACAAGCGCCACAGCACGGGCGAACGGTCCTCACACAGAGGCAGCCCTAAACACAGTGTATTTCATCATCCACACCATTCAGCAAAGTGTACAGAACACAGGATTATCTTTCTAGACCAGGCATTCATATTAATTCTGCTCCTTTTGCACCCGTGCTGCAGATAAACATGGCATGATGCGGAAGACCGCCACTCACATGCAAAAGAGTCGGACACACAACCTCTCATCTGTTCTATCCAGATAACCAAATTTACTCAATGTTATTCATAAGGCATGCAGCAGAATGACCTACACCTTTTTCTGCGCTTCGATCGTCGTTCTGAGCCGACGCTAATCCATTGCCGCCGTCAAAGTATTCTTGATCACAAGATCGTGTTCATTTATTGCAACAAACAACGAGACGCCTCATGAGACCGCATGGTGTGGTTCATGAGGTGTAACGAGGTATCATTGGGTGTCTATCTTGAGGTCTCATGAGAGCCCATGGCACCTCACTGGACATCTCATAAGACGTCTCACAAGCACCTCATGAGACGTTTCATGAAACACCTCATGGGGCGTCCCACGGGGGACCTCACAATACCTCATGAGACCCCAAAAAACCTCATGGAACCTTTTATACCTCATGATACCTCGTGAGACCTCATGACACCTCATGACACCTCATCGTACCTCATGCGACCTAATGGGATCTCATCGTACCTCATGGTACCTTCTGAGGCCCCATGGGACCTCATGGTACCATGTGATACCCCATGAGACCTCGTGATGCCTCGTGAAACCTTACGAGACCTCATGATAGCCCATGAGACCTCATGAGACCTCACGGTACCGCATGTGACCTGATGAAATCTCATGACGCGTCATGATACCTCATGATGCACCATGATGCCTCATGAGATCTAATGGTACATTCAATACCTGGTGAAGCCTCATGAAACCTCATGACGGCTCATCTCATGATACCTTATGGTACCTTCTGAGACCTCATTACGGCTGTTAAAAATGGTCCTTTCCGAGACCTCATAAGGTCTCATGAGGTATACCCTAATAAGGTTTCATGAGCTACGTGTACAATGAGCTGTCAGGACGCAAGATGGGGCACCATGAGGTCTCATGAGGCGCCATGAGGTCTCATGAGGTGCCATGAGTTCTCATGAGACTCCATGAGGTCTCATGCGGTCTGATTAGGTATCAATGGTTTCATGAGGCATCATGAGGTCTCACGAGGTCTCACGAGGTCTCATTGGGCGTACTGACTGTATATATATTGTTGGACGTACTCACAGCATCGACAGATTATTGCAAGCAAGAAATTTCCGAGCAGATGGAGCGGGGAGTTTCGGGGTTAGCAGTTGCTATGGATTAGATTTGGTGGTACAGACTTTGCCGAATATTACAGGATTGAGGGTGGGGGTATGTGTGTGTCTACAACGGATATGGTTTTTGTGTTTTGTGGCTTCTCACTTCCTTCTTATACTTGTTTTTTTTTTCCCTCTTCTTGTGTACAATCAAGTCCTTTTCCCCGGCTATCACGCTACGGCGGCTCTCACGCCACGGCTTCCACGCCAATCCCGCGCGGCTATCACCCCACTCGGCTACCACGCCTTCCGGACTTTCATGTCCTTGCATACTTACCTTTACACCACGGCCATCACGCCACCAGGCTCCCACGCCACATCCAGAGATACCAAACCCGAGCTATCACGCTCCATCCCAAAGTAGAAGGCTATCACGCCCATCATAGTACACCTACATTGTACCGTTGGCGGCTACCACGCCGCTGGCTCTTTTATTTCCCAACCACGGGACCCCGCGCGCCAAGGCACCGACGCACAAAGCTACTCAACATGTATGGTACGAGCCACAACGAACGGTGAGTATACTTTGTTACATACAGTGCAGTACTTGCATCGCTGTTCTGGCCATTTGGCATAGACTACACAGTCCATCGCATAGCTTACAGTAAGACATGTTGCGGTGGTCGTGAACATAAAATCATCATCAAGGACCCTCATGCAATGGCGACAATGGGGATACGTCCTGCTGTACGGGGGGTCTGTTTAACACTTTTAGGTTTTCTCATGAGACATGAGACACTCATGAGTGCTCATGAGGCACTCGTGAGGCACTCGTGAGGCACTCATGAGGCGCTCATGAGTAAAACCCAATAGTGTGACCCTTTGGCTGTACGCCGGATGCTTACATGCAATGGACACGTTTTCGCCCTTCAAGTAAGCCACAACCAA